GGCCATTCTTGGAGGTGCTGCTGCTCTCATGATGACCGGAACAGTCAAGGCTTCCCAGTACATAAGTTGGTGGCTAAGTTTGATCCTCATGTTTTGTTGATGGCATAGACTGGGATACCTGAGTTACCTGTATTCACGTACAAGCCCTGAGAGTTCTCCACAGACAAGCGCACTCGCAACTGTTCGCACACGCGGGAACAAACAGAAGCCAGCCAAGGGGTGTATTGCACGCAATCTGAGGTCAGAAACACGTTGAAAAGCTCGAAAAAGTGAACATTCATTCCGACAACACCGACAAGACAAGAAAGACACCCTTGGCGAAAATACACCCTTCCGGTCTCGGTCGTTTCAGGTGCAGTCCTGCATTGTGTCACTGAGTCCATCGGTTTTGCGAACGGACACGAGCACCGATGGTCGGTCCCCTACTCGTCGGTCCGATTCCCGTGTACAAAACTGAATACGTAGAGACATGTATGTGGACATACACATACACCTATCCGTTTTTTACACATACGCATCTTCATGGGCATATGCATATGAGATCCCGACACATGTACACTTACATAGGACTCAGACCGGTAACTAGTCCTCTGCTTGCACGTGTGAGCATACGCATACACCTGTACCTGCATCTACACACGAACACATCTAAGCAAACCATCAATCAGACAACCAAACACGCTCATATAGATACACACACCTACATGCATGCAAACATACACACATAGATCCGCGCATGCATACGTACATATACCCATACCCATAGTCATACCCATACCCATGCCCATGCCCATACCCATAACCATACATGCTCATGTATGTACATACACACATGCATAGATGCACAATGCGACAAGATCATATGCTTAAGCTGATGCAGCACCTAAACCCCAAGCCCAAAACCGAAAGCCCTAAACTCTAAACCCTGAACCCTAAGCCCTAAACCGTACATCCTAAGCCCCATTAGCTGAACCCTCTAAAGGGATCCGCGCCTGGACATTGAGCTCGAAGAGGCCGAAAAGTTCTAGAACATAGATGACAGTCATCAGGAGCCAGCCGACCTGTGCAGCTCGGGAGGTCCATGTTATAGTGCAGTAGAGTATGGTACAGTATGCCCCTCATGCTATACGTACTGTAAGGAACCCCCAAAACAGTACTGGTAATTATTAAAGCCCCTATAGTAGGCGTAGTAGGCGGTTGAAGCCTGGAACACGACACAAGCAGATTTTGTGGTGCTTGACCATGTTCTCAGGCAACTCGTGATGTGCCTGAAGGCTTCGCGTGCAGTAGAAGAGCACCTTCCACGGCAGTCTCCTGAGGCGAGGAAAGGTCGGGGAGGGGGGAGCTGGTGATTGTTATAGGGCCTCACGACTTTATTATTATAGGGCTTGCAAGATGCTGATTGCGATGCATGGAGCAGCCGAGTGTCTGCAGGTGTGGTGTGTGATCCAAGGAGGGCATCCAAGACTTCTTGTTGCCGGTGAACACGAAGCCTCGCAGGCAGCATCGAAAATAGACCAAAGGAACATCCCTCAGTTAAATCTGCTGCCTTTTGGTTAGGTTCGGACAGAAAGAGTCCAGACGCTGGTAGCTTGGGCTTCTATGTTGCTACCCAACTCGCTGCCACCATAATAACGGTAGTGATAATCATAATCGCATCACCACTAGCAGAGGAAAGTATAGCAATCATAATCAGGGGAAGTCTAATGATAATGACGGCTTCGAGGCCGGCTTCGATGTAGGGGCCTTAATAATTAGAATGGGTTTTGGTTGAATATTATACTATAGTTAGCGTAAGGAGTCCCTAAAGCCCTATTCTGATTATCAAGGCCCCTACGCTAAACCCCCATAATACCCCTCATAGGAATCCTTTTGGACCCCTTTAAAAGGAAGCCTTAAAGGAACCCTAGTCTAGTTACGAAGGCCCCTACATTACTCTCTGCAGCTTCACCAGCCGCACCCCAGCTCCGCCGAGCGGCTCTTTCCCCTCCTCGGGCCGTCACTGGAGTCGGAGTCAGAATCGCTGCTGCTGTATCTGAAATTGTTGGCGCCAGCACCTGAGGCAGCCAACAAGGCTTGAGGTTGTTTTTTCAGGGGTTTAGGGTTTAGGGTTTGGGGTTTAGGTTTTGTTTTAGTTGGTCAAGGGTTTAGGGAGGGTTCAGGGCTTAAGGACAGGAGGCATTATGGGATGCCTGGTTTGGATTTTCATCTTATGTAATTATGAGCATGTATAACTGTATTTCTTCGGATGATGCACTGTAGCTTCATAAGCTATCCTTCTCTAGATAGCAGGGTCTATGAGCTTCACAAAGAGATGTTGGTTCCCTCGGGCAGCCGCAGCTTTAAACTTTAAGCTCATCAGCAGTCTGGTGCGAGGCTCGTGGCTCCGTAATCGTTACTTAGAGGATCATGGGACTTAGTAAGTAGGCTATAATTGGGGTTATAAGTCCCCTAAGTGGGGTTATCCTAATTATAACCTACTTATAACCTTACTTACTAAGTCCCATGATCCTCCAAGTAGGGTGAGTTCACCAAGGGCATGGGCAACAGGTGATATAACATCATCTGTCTGTATACAGGTATATGCCCCATCATCTGGGCATATACATACATGTATACGTATAGAAGCAAATGCGCGCGCATAGATATACATACACATGGGTGGTTGTCAAGATTAGGGTCCCTTTCAGGTGCCGTACTATATTAGGGACCCAAAAATGGACCCTAATTTTGACAACTACCCATGGTGGAGCGTGAAGCTCCCGAACATCTCGGTGCACAAAGCTTTATGTCCCATCGGTTTCCACCAGGGGCAAGCCGAAGCTACCTGTAGCTTGTACTTGAATGTTGCACATGGAGGCTTCCGTTCACGAGGCCCCAAAAGAAAACAAAGACCATGAATAGTCCTTAGGATCTTCAGTCTCAGAAGCAGCTAACATTAATGAAACCCTGAACCCTGAACCCCAAACCCGAAGCCCTATAAACCCTGAACCCTAAACCCTGAAGCACCGAAGTCAAGAGGAAGCTGATCCTGCCTTGGAGTTTCTGCACGGCCCGCTCTGCGGCCTCCACCTGGTCTCTGACTTGGTCCAGTCCAAGGACCTCCACCGAACAGGTCTGAGGATGCAAGTTTAGGACTTCGGTTCGGGGTTTAGGGCTTAGGGCTTCACGTTTGGGGTTTCGGGTGTAGGTAGGGCTTCCTGCTTGGAGTTTCGGATTTAGGGCGTAGGGCTTAGCTTTTGGGGTTTCAGGTATAGGGTTTGTGGGTTTGGGGTCTGGAGTTTGCACTGGACGCCGGGATTTGGACTTCGGGATTTGGAGCCAAGCTTGGGGGACAAAGCTGAGAACGGCGTGTGAAGTTGCAAGTATGAGTTCTCAAACCATAAACTCCAAAGCCCCAAACCTTAAACCCCTAAACCCTTAAACCCCTAAACCATATACTCTAGACCATAAACCCCTAACGGCCCTAACCCTAAAGCCGGTCACTGTCGATAAACGAAATGCATTCGTCAGACAGCCTCGCTGTCCTCGTGGGGAGCTTCGTCGATGGTCTGCCCCTGGAAGTGTCGGAAGAGGTGCCATCAATGGGTAGACATGGCTCTTCTGACAAGGCCTTGACGACATTTTGACTCCCAAAAACCATGGCAGAGGACTTCCGTTTCAACTTCGGCAGGAACAGCGAGTAAGGTGGGCCTGCAGCTTAGAGCCGTTTCTCGGTCTCCTCGTTTTTTGCGAAAAGCCAGCTGTGCGAAGCGAAGTAAACAGCGCGAGAGAAACTTGTGATGTTCGGACCCCAAGAGTGCAGAAAGGCAGTGCGGCACAGGACAGATTCCGCAGATTCCCCGCAAAACCCCCCACCCCAGTGTGGCAACCTCAACTAATGTTCCCCAGAGCCCCAGTGTCGACGTGCATCCTGGTGACCTCCAGGTTGTAGTAGAACTTGGATGGGCGCGACCGCTTGTGGGTTTCGGGCTTGGCGTTTCAGGGTCTGGGGCCTGCTGGGTTCTAGGGTTCAGGGGTTTAGGGTTTAGGGCTTGGTGGTTTAGGGTTTAGGGGGTTTAGGGTTTGGAGTTTAGGGGTTTTAGGGGTTTAGAGGGTGGGCTGAGGGTCGCGAGTCGAACGTTCTGGGTCGATTCAGAGTGCATGTTTTGCAACGCAGGTTTACAGTTTGGGGTTTGAGGCTTGTACAGCACCCGACTTTACCGAACGTAATTTTCTAGCTGTTGTATTTTACTAGTTTGTATTATATTCGTATATCAGTCCATACTATACTACATTCTACTTATAAATTCTACAGTACTCTAGTAGATTGTACTGTATGAAAGCAGATTCCTACATTGAGTTACATGTCTCTCCATTAAACTATGAATTATAACTGCTTGACCGGCTTTGCGGTTGGCACCCGTTATAAAGCCCTTCCAGAACCTCATAGTACCCCTGTATAGCCCTTATGGTACCCCTTATATAGAGCCCTTATAGAGCGTTTGTGGTACCCCTTATAAAGCCCTGATAGTACTCCTTATAGTACCCCTCGCTGAAATCTATCGCATGTCAGCCGTGGCACGGCTTGGCTGTCTGCCCCACGAAACCTCAGCGACCATCCAGGCTGTACGAACTTTTCGGTTTCAGAAATATACAGCCCTAAGATCATAAGATCCTGCGTCTGGACGCCCCCAAGCAAAGCACCCTAGGTTTCTGAAACTCTCGATTGAAGACGCAGAAGGCTCAACACTGCTTACGCCGAGTACATTTCAAGCACTGTTCCGCTGATCGAGCTGAGACACGGCCCGAGCAATGCACCCGAGAAGGGATCTAGCTCCTGTCTGTCAGGGCGCACTGGTAGGGTTACGGACTTAGGATTTTTGGATGGGTTGACAGTCAAGGGTTATTAGGCTAGGATTTAAGGCGTAGAGTTGCGGGTCGAGGCTTTAGGGTTGGCCATCTTTGCGGATCCGGGGCTGCCACTTTGAAGGGCTTCCAACTTTCTTGGGTTCGTGGCTTCACTGCTCCTTCTTCTCTTCGTCATTCAGTTCGTGCCAGGAACGCAGGTCCATGGGCAGCACGGTGTCTGGATCCACCTGGACACATACGGGCCGTGATTTGGATGCTGCGCCGACCTGGAATAGTAAGATGGGTAACGGGGAAAATTAGCGCCCCCTTTCTAGTTAATAGTACAACACCCCTATACAAAGGACCCTAAATGCTAAAGGGACCCTATTTTACAGAACTACCGAGTCACCAGAGAAGGCACGCGGCGGAAGTTCCCGGCCCACCTTGTTGCGCTTGGACAGCTCCCCGAGGAAAGTCTCGTGCCATAGATTGAAGTCGCGCCTGCCACAGAGGAGAAAATACCCTATATAAACCCTGAACCCTGGAAGCGGTATGCTGTAAGGCGCTGCCCTGCGCCTTCTGGGACTTTGCAGGTGCATAATCCAAACGGCCCAGCCTCAAACGCTGAATTTCGTTGCGCATGTCCTCCTTAGCTGTTGCTCGAGCGGCTCGCGCTTGACCAACTCCGCAGAACCAAAACCCTAGGCCTGGGCTCAAGCTGCCGCTACTTGCATGCATCGTGCTCCTCAACCCCCCGTCTCTTCTCTCTCGAGTTGTCATTACTTCTTGACGTGAGAATATGTGTATGCCACAGTGCCAAGATGCTTCTCAATACCAAAGACTTGCAAGTTCTGAATGCAGTGGTGGCTGTCTGGTGAATCGACATGCTCACAATTACACTAATTACACACTACACTTCAGCAGTTGAATCGACAACAGGCGCACACACCTCCCCACATCCCCGTTCAGTTCCGGCAATCTGTACCGACACTCGTAATGGATTGCTACTGAGCGTGTGCCGACACTGTTCCTGCTGCGGCAGCTGCGATGGAATACGACAGAGGCACCGGTGCTACTCACTTCAGCGCGGAGCCTTACGGCTTCTCCCAAGCAGGGAGGCTGTGAAGATCTGATGTGCTGTCGTGCGGCATTGAAGCTATTCATCCGCGGCAAGGCCTCCCAACGCCGAAGCGCTGAGTGCGCCAAAAAGAGTGCCTGGAAAAGACATGCGGGCACGAAGGATCAACATCTGTGTGACAAGCATCGTTGGTGAATCCATGCCACTTCGTTTGTTTGGAGGCCCTCCTTGCTTGAAGAATCATCCGTTCAGGCCGGTTTTGCACCGCGTTACGATCTCTGTCAGCTCTCCACTGCTTTTCTTGAGCAAACGGTCTCGCGAAGGTCCGATCAAGCCGGATGGGGCGCTTCGTCCACAGCTGCGGGATCCTCATCCGAACTCCTCCCAACTCCTTCGACTTCTACGCCTGGGTGGACATAGGCGCCAACCCGACGACACACACCTGAATCAAACCACACCAGAAACTTTTGGATTGTAAGTCCTCAACCTTGAAGGTCTCGAACGGGGATTCTTACAATCAGAAACTTCTGCTCGCCAACCCCGAAACCCTCTGACCCCAAACCCTCTAGCCCCTAAACCAAACCCTGGGCCGCAAACCCTTCACTTTCAGGGCAAAGTCGTCAGAACCTTGCCCAAACCACCCACCATAAATCTAAGCCCTAAATGGGAGGGTGTCCGAAAATTAGGCATACCTTATTTTGGGGTCCTGACGACAAGGATCCTATTATTTAGAGTACTGTACTAGGGTCACTAGGGTCCCCTATTTTCGGAAACTCCCAAATAGCAACAAACGCTGGCCCCTTCGAGTGGTCTGCTCCGTTCGGAGCGCGGCCAAGGCACCCGATCCACTCGACGAACTTCGCTTCCGTCCAGGGGCTCCGGTGCTGCCTTCGCGCTCTGCAGGCTCATGGTGGCCTCCGGTAGCACAGTGGTCCCATACTTAGAGGTTCATGGGACGTAGTAAGTAGGTTATAATTGGGGTTATAAGTCTCCTAAGTGGGGTTATCCTAATTTTAACCTACGTATAACCTTGCTTACTAAGTCCCATGAGCCTTCAAGTATACTAATCTTACCTTTGGTTAGTGGGGAATGGAAGAATGGTCGTAATAGTAGTTACAATGGTACCCCATTCCTCCATTCCCTGCTTAACCAAAGGTAAGCAATTTCCTATACTCTTAGAATTTTGGGGGTTCCTCATCATGGCCACTATATTAGTCTAAGCACAGCATGTACATGAACGGGTACATATATAAAGGCCAATGCATATACGTGTACATCTACATTTCCTGTGCACGGACACCAGACGCAGATACATTACATGTATATACACATACACACATACACACATACACACATACACACACATGCATACATGCATACATGCATACATGCCCCCACATGCACAGCCAGCACGTCTTATTCGACATCAGAGGGCAGGCGAGCCAAGGGAACCCACACAAGACAACCACCAACTCAAGCTTCAGAACCAAGCACCAGCCAATTCGAACAGACAGTTAAATGGATATGTTAACACAATGAACCAAAATAGCCAGATCCTAAACCCCGAATGCAAAAGCCGGTAACCCCTACCCTACGCCTTGAACCCTGAACACTGCACCCTAAAGCGCTAAACCCGGAACCCCAAACCAATTTTTGAGCCCTCTGTAGACCCGCCACAAGACTGTTGGTATAGTGGACTTGAAAATAGAAGTGGGTTTTGGGGTATATTACATATACTCTAACCCTAACAAGGCACCCCCGCAACAGCATAGGTAACTGTTTAAGTATATTATACTATAACTAACCATGATAATAGAGAAATCCCAACAATAGTGTAGGTAATCATTTAGGTATATTATACTATAACCATAAGCATAATAGGGAACCCCAGAAGTGGAACCAGTGGTACCCTACCCTTAACCCCAAACCCTAGACCCTAAACCCTAAACCCTATAGATCCCTTAAAGGAACCCCTTTTAAGGTACCCTTCCTCTTATAGATCCCTTTAAAGGTACCCTTCCTTTAAAGGGTACCCCATAAAGGTACCCTTATAGATCCCCCTTTAAGGGTAGCCTTATGGATCCTTTTAAAGGTACCCTTATGGATCCCCTTCAAGGTACCCTTATAGATCCCTTGAACACCTTATGGACCCTTTTCAAAGTACCCTTATGGTTCCCCTTCAAGGTACCCTTATAAATCCCTTTAAAGGTACCCAGATAAATCCCCTTTAAAGGTACCCTTATAGATCCCTTTAAAGGTAGCTCTCTTTCGGTGCCTGGCGCGTGAGCGCTCTCTGGAGCGCCTGGGGCTCAGCCTCGACCGCGACGGTGCCGGCGTCCTCCGAAGGGCCGACGTCTGTGGGTCGCTTTTGGGCTTTAGGGCTTTTTGGGGGGGTTTAAGTTTAGGGTCTAGGGCTTTTTGGGGTTTGGGGTTTAGGGCTTCTAGGGTTTAGGGTTTAAGCCTTTATTGGGGATCTAGGGTTTAGGGTGGTTTTGGGTTTCGGGTTTAGGGCTGTTTTGGGTTTAGGGGTGAGGGCTTTATTGGGTTCAGGTTTTAGGGTTCTTTGAAGTTTGGGTATCTATGAGGTTCTAGTAGGATACTATAGTGCTCTTAAGTTTGGGGGAAGAGGTTCTATCAGGATAGCATGGGGTGCTTAGGGTTCTATGCAGGTTTTGCAAAGATACTATGAGGCGTTGGGGGTTCTACAGAGGGTCTATAAGAGTACTATAAGGTGTGCTTGTGGTCTATAGAGGTATATACAGGTTTGATAGGGATACTAGAAGGTGCTGAGGGTGATAGAGGGTTTATATACGCTTTGTTCAGGGCATTTGTAAGGGTTTTCTGTGGTCGTATACGAGTATTGAGTATTGCAGGAGTTTCTAAAACATAGGGTGCCTAGGGTTCTATAGAGGTCCTATCAAGACACTTGAAGGTGTCAGGGTCCTACAGAGGTTCTATTAAGCTGCTATGAGGGCTTCGGGTTCTGGTCGGATTCGCATGAGGCTCCGAGAAGGTGTTGTTTTCTTTTGGGGTTTAGGGTCCCCCTGAACCTTAAGAGCCGTAAGGGTCCTCCCAAAAAGCACAAATGCCATCGTAGCCTGTCTAGTTGTCCTCACAATATCGCACCCTAATTAACCCCTTTACCTGGAAACTCCTTCTAAAGCACCCTTATAGAATTGTCGCGATACCAAACACTGAAACTACGCTCTTACTAGGTCTGCTGCAGGACTCTACAGGGCTTTACTTCATTCGTAACTTGCTCCTGATAAGACTTTCCAAAACTCAGAACTTGAAGCAGATTCCTGACATGTATACGGCTGGCTAGGCTTCTCGTCGGATTCGTTGGATGCCGGCACGGCTTATGCTTCAGGAACTACTTCTGCGGTAACTGCACAAGATTTAGTGGAGTTCCGGGGTCGGGGTCGGGAGGATAGAATTAGAATATTGTTTTGCGGCCCATGATACTGTAATATGGAAACCCCCAAAATAGTACTGGTAATTCTTTCGCCCCCTATATTATATGCCGAAGCTCGGGATTCAAAAACACCCAAAAGCAATGCTACGGGCGCCTCGAAGACGTCCAGGAAGATCACGGAACGGAAGAGCCGGGGAAGGGCGGCCTTCACAAGAGACGAGGCTATCGAAGTTGGATTTCAGGCTTTCGGAGGAGGGGCTCCATGAACAAACATGGCTTGAGGGTTTAGGGTTCAGGGTTTAGGGTTTCGGGCTTCTCTGTGCTTTATGACAAACCGTGGAATCTCGAACAAGCCCCCACCTCGATCAAAACACTCCGAATGTCGACACGCCGACAAATCGACAAGCCCAATTTCCAAAGCCCTAGAACCTGAAAACAGAAGTGGCCCGCCCCAATCCCCAAGCAGCCCTAAAATCCTAAACCCCTAAACCGCCCAACCCTAAACCCCTAAACCCTCACACCCTGAACCCCTAAACCCTGAACCCTGAACGCCTAAACCCTTAAATCCTTAAACCCTGAAACCCTGAACCCTCAAATCCCAAAGGCTCGGCGTCTGCCTCATCCTGGCTTGGCCAGGCCACCCAGAGAAGCCCCTCGAACCAGAGCAGGTTCAGGAAGTAGGCCAGAGGAGCGACCTAGGGTTGTGCTTGGTCTAGGGTTTAGGGGTTCAGGGGTTTGGAATTTAGGGTTTAGGGTCGAGGGAGTTTCGGGTTTGGGGTTTGGGTCGTTAAGGGTTTTGGGGATGCGAGGGTTTAGGTCACTCACACTACAACCGCCACCACGACCACCGACCACCACTACTACTACTACCACTACTACTACTGCTACTACTACTGCTACTACTTCTACCCCGTTGACACCAGGACCCTTTTTTTCATCCTAGGCCAAGGACCACTAGCCAAGCCGCCGGGTAATCCTCCGTCTGTAGCGGGATGCCTTCCTCTGACTTCTTCGCCATCACCTTGGCCGAAACTGCAAAATGCAATTGGGAACCCAGAAGTCATACTGCTGGAGCCTTAATAATTTGAAAAGGGTTTGAAGCCCTTTCTTTTTCCTCTAACTACAATAAGGAACCCTAAGTATTCAATAATTTGTATAGGGTCTTGGAGCCCTTTATACGATGATTACAACAAGGAACCCTAAAGTAGTATTGGCAATTATTTAGGCCCCTGTATTAAGTTTCAGGTCTGGAAGTTCCAGGACTCGACTGGGAATTTTGTTGGTTTCGGGGTGACAAGATAGGAGTTTCCGAAAATTGGGGGGGGAACCTTATTTGGGGGCCCTTACAATAAGGATCCTACCATTTGGGGTGCTATATTAGGGTCCGCTATTTTCGGAAAGTCCCAGAAAGAAGCATCCCACTGGCTGTCAAGCGCCACCCTATGGCCACCCGAAACGTCCGAATCCCTGAACGAGGACCCTGGGAAACCATCAGCAAGATCCAAGGTGGAACGTTCATCCGAAAATGCTGTCCAGTTGCCAGGCTGATCGAAGCGATCCAAACCGGGACGGACCCAAGCATCTGCAGAAAGATCACCTTCAGAACACCTTGCGTGCTGAGGAAGCGTCGGTGCACAGGTGCCAGGCACCATCCCTAGAAAAGACACTGAAGCGTGGCAATTACAGAGGGACGGAATAGAACTATGGGAGTTAGGATTAGGGGCACCCTTGGGGACATAGACCCTCTCTATAAGGCCTCTTTTGAGAGAGCCAGAAGTAGGGTTCAGAAGGGGCACCCTTTAATGGGTCTGCCGAATAATACTACCTAAACTTGAAACTCGGCGAGCTGCCAATCCCCGCCAGGTCCAGGGTTGCCAACACCAGACCTCCCGAGTTGAAGCCGGCGATGAGCGCGAAGCAGAGGCTTGGGCACCTGACTGCGGCTTCCTTTCTTTAAAAGCCAAGCTTGTCGAAAGTGCTACACCCGGAAGACGGCTTAGGGCGTAGTGGTAAGGGCACAGAGGCGTTATCAGGCCAGCTTTTCAGGCTGCTCGGGTTTAAAGTTTCGGGCCCAGGTCCTGGGGATTCGCGTTTCGGGCTGGCACCGAGGGATGAGAGTCGTCAGAACGAGGGTTGATGATCATCCCAGGGTTCCTTTAAAGGGATCTACTGAGGGATCTAGAGGGGGCTTAGTAAGGTTTAGGGTACAAGGTTGATGATATAAATCCTGCGTCACCCATGATAAGGAATATACGATAACTCCCAGAGTCTAGGGTCATCGGAGTAGTGCAGGACTTATATCATCAACCGTAGGGCTGCTAGAAGCGAAGATCGTCGCCGCACGGATGGTCATCTTCTACTCATCTTCTTAACATACTGGCCGCGGCTTTGCTCAAAAAAACAATCGACATAACCCCTGGAAGCTGCTCGTGTCCAGCGGGTGTTCCGAAAACCCCATCCTAGCCGGCATAAAGCAAAAAGTCGGGCTGAAAGAAATGGCTCCAACAGCTGTAGAAGAGCAGCATGAAACCTAACGAAAAGCATTTGCAACGGTACATACTATAAAGACCCCGCTGTCAAAGCTGACACTCTCGGGAGGGTGCGAGGCCACTGGAGACCCGGGCACCTGTATTGGATGATGCAGGTCACCACAAGGTAGTACTGCAGGCCCAAGAGCAACCTGGCAGCGACTGCTACTTCTGCTCTCCAAGGAAATCCTCCGCAATCCGTCATAGAGGATCGCAGACACCGCTGCATACAGCGGGGATCAGATGATGGTCTGTGATACTTCTGCCGACTGCTGCCACTTGTATGGGAGTTTCCGAGTTTCCGAAAATGGGGGGCCCTAATATAGTACCCTAAATAGTAGGATCCTTTGTCCCCAAAATAAGGTAACCCTAACTTTCGGAAACTCCCAAAACCCTAAGCCCTACACCCTTGATAGAACCCTGAGGAGCCCCTAAAAGGATCCCATTTAAGGGTACCCCTAATTCTCGGAAAATCCCACATTCTTACCTAAATTCTTGCACTAGCATCCTTCGCTGGAATGCCGGGGCTTCCTTGGCCTTCGGGGTTCGGGCACCTGCTATAGGGGCCTGAATAAATCGAATAGGGTTCCTTTTAAAAGGGTACCTCCTTCAAGGTGGTCTACAATAGGGTTCCATAATATAGGGGCCTTAATAATTCGAATGGTGTTCTGTTGGGTGTATTATACTATAACTACAAGAAGGAATCCCCCCAAAGCCAGCCGAGCATCTGATTCGCCCCCAGAGCCATGCAGACGCGAGCATATGCATCAAAGCACCTTCACATGAGGGCCGTGCTAGTTCAAGGCCTGGGGGCTGCTTATCGCGAGGCCTGGTAGTCTTTCATTCGGATGCTATTTGCGAGTTTCCGAAAATAGAGGACCCTAATGTAGTACCTTAAATAGTAGGATCCCTAATATAAGATAAGGATCCCAAAATAAGGTACCCCTGATTTTCGGAAACTCCCATTTAAGTTCTGAACCGGTTTTGGGCTGAGCTCCTAGATCTTCGCCTTGACCAGCGTTTTGCCATTGCATCAACGTTTCTAGACCTGTGCATGACGGCAAAGACGACGAGGGCAGCGAAGCAAAACTGAACAAAACAACGAGGACAAGGACAACGACGACGGCGCCAGCTTCAGCAACGACGAAACCTAGGCTATCTTGAGCCTCCTACGCAAGAAGGGTTTAAAGTCCGGTGCTGCAAGCATCTTCCAAGAGCCGAGGAGCTGCCACTTGGACTGCAACTTCCGGAAGAGCTCCACGTGCTTGCCAAGGGTTCCCTGGGAAGGTTTTTTATATAGGCTTTTTTGAAAACCTTTCAAAAACCTATGTTTTTTAGCAAAACCAAGGGTTCCCTGGGAAGAGGGCGTTTTTTGAATTGTATCCACCTCACACAGACAGAATCCACCTTACCGGAAGTCTTTCCGCCTCCGCAAGCAGAAGTGTCCATCTTCTGGAAAAGTGTTTAAAGCTCAGGGTTTAGGGTTGGGTGTAACTTGCAGGCCTCATTGCCTAGGGTTGGCTTAGACACAGGACTTATGGCTTTGAGCGTACCTGGAGCAATCTCCGACCTTGGCAGGGTGCCCGTCACTCGCGATGGGCTGTAGTTTTGAGGTGCACTTAAGCTTGAAGTAATACTGGCACCTTAACAATTAGAATAGTGTCTTGCACCCATTATACTATAGTTACTAGAATTAGGATAAGGACCCCCTAAAATAGTCTAGGTGAATATGTAGGCGCCTACATGAGTTTCTGGTTTCTTCTCAACTCCGAAGGCCCCTGGCTTTTTACGGCCCCTTCGAGTATCAAAGCCCTGCGCCTGGGCCGTGCCCAGGATGTTGTCGTCCTTGTTGAAGGCCTTTACACCTGCGGCTACGAAGCTGCCCGGCCTATTTCTCAATCCGAGGAAGAACCGCTCTTGCATCAGGCTAGCGGAGGCTGTGCTACTCCTTTTCTCCTAGCATTTCTCAGAGGAAGGACACCTCTTGCATCAGGCTAGCGGATGCGATGCTACTGGTGTTGCTAGCTGCTGGCATGAGGTGTCGCGCTATCGCTGTCACTATTCCGCTGCTACTGGAACGCTACTGGCACTGTGGTCACAATGATGGCGATGGTCACGGAGATAGTGCTGCTGCAGGTGCTGGCGAGCGTGACGACGATGACGATGAGGCTGAGGATGAGGACGAGGATGAGGATGAGGACGATGATGATGATGATGATGGTGATGATGGTGATGATGGTGATGATGATGATGACGGTGACGGTGACGATGACGATGGCGATGATGATGCTGACGATGACAAGGAGGAGGAGGAGGAGGAGGAGGAGGAGGAGGAGGAGGAGGAGGAGGAGGGTTATGATGCTATCATGGTAATGCTGACTTCGTGCATAGATGCCATTGGGATGCTGAATATGACTGCGACCATGGATGACAAATAGGCCTGGTATGACCTCTGACATCACGAATCATGACTGCGGTGACTACTGCCATATTGGGTGCGGCCGTCAATCTGATCAGTACTGGTGTCTAGCATGAGTGCTTGGATGCTTCGTATCCTGTCCACGTGTAATTCATGGTCTCCTTTGTGGTATACATCGTGCCGCTACCACTTGCCCAAGCACAACCGTTCTCACCTACTGTCGACCTTGTGACGATCCTGCTTCGATCATGAGCATATGCATGCAGAATTGGCATGGCTACTGGTCATACTGGTCCTCATTCTCTCAATATTTGTCCCCAGTGCTTCCTGCCTTCGCCCAGAAAATCGGTGCCAGCTGACGGCTGGCCCTGCAAAAAAGAGCAAGGTCTGTGCTTCCCCTCTGAGAGAAAGGCTGTTAGGGATCGAGGATTTAGGTTCGTTTGAAGGGCTTTTGGGGTCCTTCTTAGGGTCAAGACAGTTGTTGATTGCCGAGAACAGCAGAATCGATTTACCCATCGCAATAACTCATTGTGTCGCTACTGTTACATGTCTCGGTATGCTGCTAATCATTACCACCAGAAAGATTCATAAACTCAGCAACTCGGATCCTTAAACAGTAGGGTCCTTACTCTTGCCCAAGAAATATGAAGGGCTCCTTATGATGTGGAAATAAACCCCTAAACCCGAAACCCTGAACCCTAAACCCTAAACCCTAAACCCTCATCAGCTCGCCTCCTGGATGGAATCAAGAGGCTGCCCTGGCTTCCCCCACTGCTGGGTCGCCCCAACCACGGGCACGCGAAGCATGTTCTTCACGCCTGCGAATGGGGGTTTAATGTAGGACCTCAATAATTAGAATAGGGTTTTGGGGCCCACAATGCTGTCATGATAATGAGAAACCCCCAAAATAGTATAGGTAATTATTCAGGCCCCTATGTTAAGGTCTCGGACAACCCTTGTCAGCCTCGGCTTGTTCAAGCCTGCTGCAGGAACTCTCTTAAAGATAAAAAGACTGCGTGATCTAACACAGGCTGCATCACGTGGCATGACTGCCAACAGAAAGAAGATGATGTCCCTGAACTTGAAAGGCCCTGAAATGCAGGTATCAGTCTATGAATCTGATCGTGACAACGATGATGATGATGATGTTGAGGAGGAGGACGACGATGATGAAGAGCACGATGAAGTGTGAAACATCTCTTGGATGCAACTGTGCGACTATGCTGCCCTGGTAGCATGTTCTGTGTTTGCTTGAACTTATGTGGAACGGTTCGAAGCCTGCAATCAGACAACCAGAATGAACGACGAGTTCATGCTGGCCAGCTTGATTCTCAAGAGTACCATCGTTGGTATGGCGGTTCTGACGACAATGAATAAGACCGCCTTGCAGAGCATGACAGGATGAGAGAAGGATGGTAAAATGATCATCAGAGCTACGATGATTGCTTCAAACTGCATGTCATGAACACTCTGACTCATGTGATTGTACATGCAGCTGTCAGCATCAGCACCCCTACGATTACTCTTGTCGTTGCTGTTGCGATTACGACGTTAAACCCTAGAAAAGGGCCTTAATGATTAGAATATGGTTTTCGGGCCCATGAAAAAAAATAAAAAGAACGGGAAAACCCAAAATGGCATAGGTAACTACTAAGGCCCCTATATTACTCCCCTCACCTTGCCGCTCGTAGTCGGCCAAGCGGGCATTGAGGGCCCCCATCTGCTGCATGCCCGGCACGGGAAGACGCACCTTGCGCACGCTGTGAGCAAGTAGGCACTTATCTGGTGCACCTGTACCGAGACAATACTAGAAGAAGGCAACCGCAGTTACGTGTCTATATACATATACAGATATGTATGCATATATGCTTTGCTCGTATGTGCATATATATATATATATATGTATATATATATATATATATATATATATATGGTTGCCCCCCCGTGGATCCACCCCAGCATATATAGAGAGAGAGAGAGAGAGGCAGAGACAGAGACACAGAGAGGGAGAGAGAGAGAGAGAGAGAGATGGGCAGGCACGGCCGGGATCCTGCGAGACTTCTGCGAACAAGAGCAGACTCCGAGAGCTGTGAGTTGGTTTAGGCATCATCTCCTCAATCCCGACAGCCACTTCTGAAGCCAAGGTGCCCCCTAAACCCTAAACCCTAATCCCTAAACCCTACTCCAAACGTGCTTGAACTGTCTGCGGCGTAGCCACAAAGCGAGTTAGAAGCCTCACACCGAGGCTGTGGGAGCAGATGGAAGCGTGCATGCTGAGCCACACGGCAAGCAGGAGATACCTAGGCCGACGGTTTTGGGGTTTAGGGTTTAGGGAAGAGTTTAGGGCTTAGGGCTCAGGGCCTTAAGGTTAGGTTCAGCGGTTTCCTGTTTTGTATGGGCCCTATTTTCCGACTGCAGGAAGGTTCAGCGGTATAGGGTTCAGGCTTAGCCATGCGAACAAACATGTGTTTGCGTACGTCTGCTGCGCTGGTCTTTTCCTGAGCTTCGGGCATGTATGCGCTAGCAATGGAGATGAACAGCAGGCCGATCACGAAGGGCGGTGCAATGTGGCGTATTCGACCCTCGAAATACAGAGCCATGGAGGACTCCATGAAGAGCGCGGCCACGAGGTGGTACATCTCCATCTTGCCTACGGTCAACTCTACCAAGTCCCGAATGTCCTGTCGGATACGGTGCCAGAATCTCAACTCTAAACGCTTTCGAATGGTAAACCGACACTGATCGACTTCACATGGATAGCGACGTTGGTGGTAGTGAGACTGAGAGAGGCTAGCTTGTGTGGTGCTGGTGCTTGCTGCTGCTCTTGCAGCAACTCCTGCTCCAGCTCCTGCTGATGCTACTGCTGCTGCTGCTATCTGCTGCTGCCACAGATTTTATCTACTTACTACTACTGCCACCTCCAGCAGAACCACTATTAACTGCTACAGCGTCATCGCCGTCGTGAGAGAATCGCAGCTGCAGCAGACGCATGATGACAATGCAAATTCCACATCCGAAGCATGCGAAACCCAACTCCAACACCCTCGAACACCACCCTGTCTCCAAAAGCCTCCTAAACCTCTAAACCCCAAAACTTTATAGACCCCCCAACACTTTTCTTCCACCCCTTAGGCTTACTTTTGGTTGGTCGGGAATGGAAGAATGGTAGTAATAGTAATTATAATTCTACCCCACTCCTCCATGCCCTCCTGACCAAAGGTGAGCTACAGGCTTATTAAGGCCCCTATACTATAGTACCCTTATAGATCCCTTATAGTAACCCCCCACTAACCCAAGGTAAGCTATAGGCTTATTAAGGCTCCTACATTATAGCACCCTTATAGATCCCTTATAGTAACCCCCTACTATCCCAAGGTATGTAGGGTCCTCTCGGAAGAGCGTAAAGCGCTTCAGCTGCATTATCTGGCGAAGCAGCTCGCGGCTCTGGCGCTGCTCTTGATCGAACTGGAAGTTCTCGCCTTGGTAGGGTTTTAGAGCTTTTATAATCGCCAGAGCAATCATCATAACAATGACCGTAATAAGGGGTTTAAAGGGCTTAGAATTTTGGAGGTTTTGGGGCGTTCGAGATTTGGGGCTCAGGGCTTTAAAAGTGTACTTTGCAGGTTGGGCGCTTGACAGGTTTAGGAAGCTTACGGCTTAGGGTTTACGCTGTGGGCAAGATGAAACCCAAGCTGCGCCCGAACCCCTCAATTCAAATAAGCTTGCCTTTTAAGAATCGTCACAGTAGGGAAGCTGCAAAGGCAGAACGTTGCCACCATAAGCTGGCAAGTTGCGATTGTAATCAAACATGTTCTTGGCAGCCATTCCGAAGGTGGCCAGAAACCTTCAGCAAGAAGCTACTATAGGGGCCTTCATGATTAGAAAAGGGTTTTGGGCTCCTTTATAATATATTTCTGCCAAGGAACCTAGGGAATGATATGTTGATAGATGTTTAGGGCGGTCGGAGTGTTTCGCCTGATGAAATCTTTAGAACTGATGAGGCAGATCCAAGGGGATCAGTTGCAAAATGCGACACTGGATGGAGTGAGTCAAGCACAAATGACACCCGAGGAACTAAAGATAAAATAGACAAACTAGAAACAGAGGTTGAACGGATACCAAGATGTAGCCATTTTTTAAAGATTCCTTAAATATGATGGATTAAAAGTACTTTGACAGGCCATCTTGGCATATAGAAAGTCCCCAATGAAAACAGAAGCAGGAAGAACCAACGCCCTCGCGTGCTTGGCAGGTTCTACAGGTTCATAGGCAAACCCTAAGAGTTTGAAAATGACATTAATTCGCAACTGGCTTCGTTAAATCTTTGCAAGTTTTCATAATAGTTCATCTAATAGCAATGCCAGTAAGAGTAGATAAGATATCAGTTGATTTTGAGCCATATACTGAAGCAGTTAATGTTGTTACTAGGCTAGTGTTGCCGTAGTAAGCAAGTCAAAGATATTGATTGTTTCAAGCGCTGCTATTGCGCCAGTAAGCATTCTTACTATTATTGTTCAATACACTGCGACTTGTTATGAATGCTTAGGTAAGTATGTCCAAAATTAGTGATCCAGTAAACCTTCAGAGTATAGTTTAGGAAACTTACTTAAAGAATAAACCCTACTTTAATAATAGAATGATGAATTGGCAACTGGAAGAAACAACTACACCACAAGACATTATTCAATTTGTAACTGAAAACCCGCTACCACGAAGTGGACACGAATTTTTGAGGAAAGTTAGCATAGCAGTTCAGTATAAAATTGAACTATTTTGGCGCAGTACTTTTTTAAGAGACGAAGAAGGAATTATTGAACTGTGCGAAAACATTAACAATTTAAATAAAAAAAAATAAAGGCAGTAGGAGCAGAGTTTAACGTAACGAATGCAGCGGTATGGATTCACTGTATGTGAATATCTGTATTTTAAGAGAAGCAATTCAAACAATTACAGGCGACATAGATTTGAGAAAATCATTATTTAAAACAATACTTCGGGTATGGATGATAACGGAATTTGGACAAACAAAGAACGATAAGCATGTGCAACCAACAACAGCATAGTTATAATGTATTTAAAATACATAAGCAGTGATATAATATAATTACAGCACAGTTATAACATTCTTGGAGAATCCGCAAAGCCAAAACTTTTGATACAACCCTTAACCTTAAAGCCTGAGCCAAATTCTACAAGGAACACCTTGCCTATTTTGAGCGATGGCACTTGGATAGATACGGGTGTTTGAGAATAACGTATTTTCATAGGATAAGTCTTTGTCTTGTTGGGGTGGGTGGTGCCGATAGCCGAAAATGGGCAAGGTGGGTACGTAGTTGTCAAAATTAGATGCCCTTTTTTGGGTCCTCATTAGAATACGGCACCTAACATTTAGGGTACCCAAAAAAGGACATGTTCTAACTTCATAGGGGAACTTCAGAGCGCTTAGGATCTTGAAACTACTGCAGTTGGTGCACGCGCAACATCGACCCTGAACAATGAGATTATCAGGAAACGAGGAACCCTAACCCCCTCCATAGAACCCGAATAAACACCACAAAACGGTAATTTTGCAAGAGTAATGAAAAACAATAAGTACACTGATAACAATAGTAAAAAGAACCATTATTGTTGTAATAATAGCAATAATTCTCATAAAGATAAGCATACTAATCACAATAATCACAATGAGCAGAACAATAGCAATGCGATACTGCTGATGGACAAAATCCTGCACTACCCATTATAAGGGAGATACCATAATTCCCATAGTTTAGAGTCCTTAGGGTCATGCAGGATTTTGTCCATCAGCAGTAGTAATAGAGGTTCACATCGCCGGCAATGCATCCAAGCTACTCCATGGCTTCTTGGGGGAGCGATGGCGGCAGTTGCCAGCCGACCTCAGGGAAGCGCAGGGTTAGCGGTTTAGGGTTTCGGGCTTAGGGTTTAGGGTTTCGGGTTTCGGGCTTAGGGTTTAGAGTTTTGCTGTGGAACAGCACGTAGGCGATAACATCTTGCGACAAGGTTTGGGCAGAGTGCATCGTATTGTGGGGACAAGCTGCGAAAGCCTGTCTATGGAAGGCTTTTCCTTCCTTCTTTCCCACCCCACGCCGTATAAGACGGCCAAGCCACCCAAACCTATTCCTTTACCTATTCCTTTAGGGTTCAGGCCTAAACTCAGACCATTGCGTTTTTCTTCCTTTCTGGCAGTTAGGCAAAGTAAGGAGTCAGGGCAGGGCAGGGCAGCGCAGGGGCAGCAGGGCAGGGGCAGCAGGGTAGGGCAGGGCAGGTTGGGTTTGGGGTCTAGGGCAGGCTTTCTGGAGTCCGGTAACTTTAGTGCTGTTTCTTTGTGAGGGTGGAGGGGAGGGCGTAGTTTGGGGTTTTCAGACTAGTTTAGTGCACTGCGAGCCGGAGATTCAGGGATCGGGTCCTTTCAGGGTGCGGAATTTGGATTGAGGGCTTGGTTCTGTTTTCAGGGGAAAGGCTTAAGGGGTGCTTCGCGTTCTGGCGCTCAAGTTCGGCTTGTCCGGTCTGCCCGAACCTGGCCTTCGAGCAGGAGTACAGCAAAGGACGCTCCCACCGGGGCGGGACAGAACTATTTCCGTAACCTTCGAGCCAAATGCCAAAGCCGCAGACAGGCGTATCCCGAGCAAGAGGGACATGCAACAAAAACTGCAGTGGCAGCGCTCCTAGAATGAGAAAACTGACGATGTCAAAACAGCTTGCAGGATTTCAAGATGGGCAGCAGGCTCAGCCCACTCTGTGATGATACGGTTGCTCTGCAACGTCAACACCTTGGCTGCAACAGGCTTAACCCCAACATCATTACAAGGGCATCGATGGCAGCAGTCAAATCGAGGCAAAGGATGGCTGGAGAGTAAAACAAACATATGTATACAAACAGAGTGAGTACGTACATATTTATATGTGTATATATATATATATATGTACATCTGCATACATGTCGTGCATATTTTACATTTTGCAATTTGTCATAGACTGTACACTACATGCTTTACATTATATACGATATGTTATACACTTTGTATTGGACACTACATTTTTCATGTTGCATACAGAAAGGGGGAGAGAGAGAGAGAGAGAGAGAGAGAGAGAGAGAGAGAGAGAAAGAGAGAGAGAGAGAGAGAGAAAGAAAGAGAGAGAGAGAGAGAGAGAGAGAGAGAGAGAGAGAGAGAGAGAGAGAGAGAGAGAGAGAGAGAGAGAGAGGCAGAGATTCTCTATATTTATATATATTACACTACGTACAGTATGCCTTTTCTATGAACCAAAAACTGTAAACTGAACCAAGCAACCACGTATGCCCTTTCCACTTTGGGGTCCAGTGTGGCCTGGCGACCGAAACACACCCAGATTGCCTACGATCACACACTGGCCGTGTGCATGGGAATGAAACTGCATGCTGTCAGCACACGCTGCAACGCTTGCCCCCACCTCAACAGCTCCGATCTTCAGAACTGCACGACCACCATTCGTCGCATATCTGAGCGATGCTGGAGGACAGGGCATGCTGAAAATGAGCGCAAGATGAGAACAACCTCTCAAGCCCTGAACACCTCGACAACGACTCGGCGTGCACAAGGTCGTAGTAAGATTGTGCACTCGACACCAAACTGTCTGAGTCAGGAACTTTGTCAGGAGCGATCGGCGGCCGGGTGCTACCATCACGGCCACAGAACATGCTTTTGCGGTAGGTCCAGCATTATGCAGCCGTCGCCTCACGCCTCACTTGACTTAAACTTTTGCCTCTGCTTCAGAGGAGCTCATGTCAAGAAACCATGAAAGGAAGAAGGGTCTCTGAGTTTTTGCGACCAGATCTCACAGGCAGCTTCGAGTTTGGGATGAGCCGAGACACCTCAACGTCGAAGGATCACGTCTCACAGACGACGGCAAGACAATTGCAACACCGTCTCTCTACCGAAGCTGGCCCAAGAGCTTCAACTGCCTTCTGCGTGGGCGAGTCGTGCCTCTTCTTCCTCTTCTTCTTGGCCCCACCATACGAAGGTGAGCTTCTGCCCTTCTTGCCTCAGCCATGCTTGCACAGATGGACTGAACCTGTCAGCACGCTTCACAGACTTTTAGAGCCCGGCCCATTAGACAGCTTCACATCTGGCCGGATCCATCAGCTGCCCAGCCCGGTTTAGGGATTAGAGTTTTTGTTTGAACCCTCTTTTCTCCTTGCCTGAGTTAGGTTGGAGTTTAGGGTTTAGGGTTAGCCCAAGTCAGAAACTATCAGAATCCATTCTATGGGGTTCTCACAATCGACATCATAAATAGTAGGACGCCTGAGCACATCTGGCTTTGAGACAGCCCGGTAAATTGAGCTTGGTGCTGAAACCTTCCAGTTCATGACAGATCCCCGAGGCCCGAAATGTCTATAATGCTTTGCGTATGGTGCTGGTCACAACGCTTCAAGCAATCAGCCGACTTCTCGCCGGTTTTGATGCTATCATCTCACGCATGCAACCGGAAGCTCTTCAAGTTTCGGCACAGAGAGATCCAACGCCACAAGCACCACACATGTGCTACCAGTAGTCAGCTAGTCTTGTTTCTGCGCTTAACGCAGGTAGCTCCTCATCCAAACACAAGCATGCACCGGTGGCAAGCTCGCCACGAAAAGTCATCAGATCTCAGTCTCCTGCAACGGCGCAGGAGCAACACAAGCTCAGAGGCACTAAACCCTTCAGGGCCTTGTCTGTTATTCTCATGTATGTTGTCCGAGCTAACATCAGCCGATTTTCTTTTCAACCCTAAACCTAAATCCGAAACCCCAAACCCTGTACCCTAAACCCTGACTCCCTACTTGGAGGGTCGGGGACTTAGTAACTGGCTATTGTAAGGACTCATAAGTACCATAACCCGAATTAGGGTCCCTTTTAGGGTACTTATAAGTCTACTTACTACCTACTTACTAAGTCCATCGACCCTCCAAGTAACACCCTTAAAAGTTCGAGAACTCAACAGAAAGCCTCCTACGCAGTCGCCGAGGAGACCAGGTCGATGAGGCGAGTGAGGTCGGCGGCTTTGGCCGGACCCCGAGCACCTTTGAATTTCATTTTAACGGGCTTAGGGTATTTTTTTAAGCGCCTCTTTTACGACCTGCAGAAGAGGACGGGCTTAGGGTCTAGGGCTTCGGGTTGAGGGTTTAAGGTTTAGGGCTTCCGGTTCAGGGCTTCGGGTTTAGGGTTCAGGGTTTGCAGTTGAGGGTTTCAGTCTTAGTGTTTTGGTTCGGATATATATGTATATGTATATACATATACATATATATGTATGTATATATATATATATATATATATATATATATATATATATATAGTTGCTGTAGTACATTGTATACTGCTTTACATATATGTATATACTATATACTGCATTATACCACATCGTATTGTATTATACCATCTTATGTTGTATTGTATTGCGGTAGACTGCATTTGAGTATATTGTATTATGTTATGCCATATCACATCATATCCTATAAGAGCATAACCATATTAGAGTGTAGTATGCTATGCTATAATCGGTTTTAGTTCATTGTAACATCATATTAAACAATACCATATCATAATATGTTCTAACTATTCTATTCTGTCCTATATACAGGAACAAACACACACATGTTGTAGCATTTTAAACCGTATATGCACTTAGTTATATGTTTTCACCATATCAAAGCATGTTGTACATTATGGTATATCGTAGTATGAGCAACATATTCGAGTTTTGGATTTGTGGAGGGGGGGCTCTGAGGATTCGGGCTTCGACATGGTTTAGGACTCAGGGCTTAGAACCTATGGGTGTCTATGCCCAGACCCCCCAAAAGGATCCAGAAAGTAGATCCCTTAATGGGGGCTCCTATAAAATACCCGTAGTAGTATAGGGCCCCAATTGGGGAATCTACTTTCTAGATCCTCCCGGAGTCTGGATGGTTTCACTTATAGGGGTCGCATCAAAGCTTTCTCAGGGAAGCAGGTAGTGGGGGTGGCCTACCGGATTTGCTTGAGGAGTCGTCGACATCATGGCTACGAGTCTAGGACTTTGCGATGCAGCTGGGATTGAGGGTTTAGGGTTCGCTTTCTGTTTTGGTGTCTGAGGTTGAGGGTTCGTGCAGGCCACAGCACCTAAGGCTTACAGAACACTATAACCCCCCCTAGAACCATATTACAAATAATCTGTTTAATAGTCTCTCGGGTTGTATATGAACAAAAATAACTCCCAAGGAGGCTATAGAATAAGGCTTTGGATCCCCAGTCACTGCTGTGGTTTGAGCCCGGAGGCTCTGACGTCCCAACAAATCCGAGAGCAACCTTCACGACCAGCCTGAACACACCACAAACCCTAAACCCTAAGCCCTAAACCCTAAACCCTAAACCCTAAGCCCTTCACAGAAGAAGGACAAGACCTGAGGTGGAGGACTGAACTCCTGCATAAGACGACTCGGCGGCAATGCCGCATGCCGCAAAGGCTCTCTTCTGTTTGTCCAAGAAGTCCCCAACCTCCTTCAGCGCAGCCTGGGGCAACTAACGGTCGCGATCCCTGCGAAACCTCGCAAGCCCTTACAGGCTTTAGGATTTAGGGTTTAGAGTTTAGGGTTTAGGTTACCTTGCGACCTCAATAATTGCTGGTCCGTCTTGGCATTTTTTCAGACACTCTAAACCCAGAAACTGCCACAACTGATGTGGAGCACTACCTAACCGAGATGAAACACTGCAGAAGCACGAAAGTATCGCCAAACCTCCTGCAAGAAACTCTTACATGTTCGCGTCTTTTTGTCGAATTTATGTGGTATATACATACTCACAGACACATAGAAACGCACAAACGCACATGCGGATCTGAACCCTAGCAGCACTTCGAATTTGGTAAGGCCTCCATCTGTCTCTTCTTCGCATAGAGCTCCTTCACAGTCTCCTCTCAGCAGAGCGCGGGTTACTATAAGGCTACAAGGGTACTATTTGGGAGTTTCCGAAAACTAGGGGGTACCTTATTTTGGAGTCCTGAAAATCAGGATCCGACTATTTAGGATACCATATTAGGGTCCACTATTTTCGGAAACTCCCATTCGTCGTCAGGGCTTAGGGATGCTTACGGCCCAGGGGTTCGGATGTGGGTCTCGGAATCCAGGACCTCGGAGAAGAAGCTGCGGAGCCATTTAGAAAATCTCTGAGCCGATGATATTCAGGATTAGGGTCTAGGGTTTTAACAAAAACTAGACCCTAATCCTGAATATAGGCTTTAGGGTTTAGGGGCTTAGGGTTTCGGGTTTAGGATTTAGGGCTAAGGGATTAGTTAGCCGGTTAACTGGCTAACGGAAGTGGAAACCGCGCAGCATACGCAGCACACAGCTACTCACGGCACGGTGCCGTCTTGCTGCAGTTCCCAGACCCCCCTAAACCCTAAACCCTTAAACCCTGAACCCTAGGCCCTAACCCCTAAACCCTAACCCTAAACCCAATCCTGCTCTCTATGCAACTCGAGGCATGGGCTGTGGGTTTTGTGCGAGTCCAAGGGCGTGGGGATGGAGACGATCCCATTCTGGGCTCTTGTTAGGGAACGTACTTTTAAGTTACCATTACAGGGATCTTATAGTAAATAATGTGGTTTCCTCACTATGGTAACTTAAGTTAAATCCCTTTACAAGAACCGCTTAGTTGCTGAGTTCATAAGCAAACCCTAAAACATAGCAAAAAAGACACTGGCGACTGTGAAGACAAGATTGAACGCCAAGACCAAAACAGCCCTATGAGTCCTGAGAGCCCTTAACCCTAGGAGCTGCAAATCCAAATCTCAAACCCCCAAACCCTGGACCCTCACAGACCCCCTGCTGCCCTGAAGCCTGCCTTACCGCCATCTTTCAGTGACTTCTGAGTCATGACCTTAAGGAGCTTACGGTTTGAGCTTCAGGGTCCTTCAGGGGGAAGGCTTTGAAGCCAGCTTTAGAGGCACCGGCTGGGCTTTAGGAAGCCTTCGGTTTAAAACGGTTGGGGTTTAGGGGTTAGGCACTTGCCGGGTTTTGGGACTACGGCTTGATGTTCTTGAGCTTCGAGGGCTCTGCAATGGCCAGGCCTAAGGGAACTGAAAAGTCTGTCCTGGCATTTCGCATGCAGAGGCTTAAAAGCCTGGTCTTGTGGCATGACAGGAACGGCTGCGTAAAGCTAGAAACCGCGAGACGGCGATTCTTTTGGCAAGCTTTGTGCTTTAGGGTTTAGGGCAGGGTTTAGGGTTAGGGTTTAGGGTTTAGGGACCCTAAACCCTAAACCCTAAAGGTGGATTGTCTGCGTATCTGATTGGGGTGTTCTGGAATCCGGCCTAAGGCACCGAACCTTCAAGAGCTCTGTGCTGAGACTTGGGCGAGCTCGTCCACGACTTCTGCCTTTGTGGATATGTATGTGTGTGTGTATATATATGTATATATGCGCATATCTATATTACCATTTATATATAACCTAGGTTTTACAGTTCAGGGTTTAAGGCAGCTGGCCCCCGTAAATTCTCAGGCTGGAGCGGTTACTGGGATGGTGCAGAGGCGAGCCTACCCCCCTGCCCAATCTGAAGCCTTGATGTGCTGAAGTCTCAATTGTCAAAGGCCCGCTGAAGTCATCCGAACGTCCGAACGGTGCCAACTTCCTGAACGCTGGACCGTACTTGTAATGCATTCGCCAGCACAAACATGTTGAGCGAATTCCTTGAAGGCCTTGCAACATGGTGCAAGACAAGGCCCGGCAGGGAACAGTACTTCTACCAGAAGCCGTTTGGCAACAGCCGCCGCAGCAGCAAACCGTCATGCCTGACGTGAACCCGTGTCCTCCTGGCCTGGTCATGATTGCCATATGCATACAACGTTACATATACATGTACACACAAATGTATATAGAGAGAGATGTGTATATATATATATATATACATATATATATATATATATATATATGTATATTTATTTATTTATTTATTTGTTTATTTATTTATGATACTCCGTTTTCACGTGTGTATATACTTATATATAAGCATATATGTGTACATATTCGTATTTATCTAGGACAGAGCGGCTGGCCTTGGCCTCCTCCAACTCCTGGTTCTTCTTGGCGATGATCTGCTTCTCTCTCTCAACCTGCGGCTTCGAAGCTCGGGTCTCTCCCACGGCTTGGTGCTTCGAACTTGGGTTTTCTTTAAGTGCCTTTTTCCCCCCCAGTTCGCCATCGTCCCAGTCGGACTTGGGTTTGGGGTTTAGGGTTTTTGTGTTTAAGGTTTCGGTTGGCGCTTCTCTGTGGGAAAACTCATGTCTGCGACACTGGGCTTTGAATCAGGGGACAGGCGACCATGTCGCACTGCACGAATGGACTAAGACGCTCGAACCTTCCAGGGTGCCTAACTTTTTCGGTATGGTGCCCAAGAGTTCAGATGTCAACTCATGCAAGACATAGCACCATATGGGTGTTGTGCATGCACTGCTGTCTGCCTGGAATAACTTGGATATATATGTTTATATGTGTGTGTATATATATATATATATATATATATAATGCAGCATGCTTCTCACAAGGAACCTCATTTTGGTGTCTATTTTATTGTACGAGTACTTATCACAAGTAATCAGTTATACGGCTGATGATACAAATCCTGCATTACTTATAATAAGGGACCTACCATAATTCCCCATAGTCTAAGTCTAGGGTCATTACGGTAATGCAGGATCTATATCATGGATCAGACCCAAGAGTAACCTAGGAATAGAAAGGCTGTCCTTTTTGATTTAAACGGGGAACCTGACCCCAAAAAAGGGAATAAGGGCCTACTCCGGTTGATGATAGAAATCCTGCATTACCTTAAGGACCCTACACTATGGGAATTATGGTATATTCCTTATGATGGGTCATGCAGGATTTATACCAACCCTAAACCCTAAACCCCCTATAGATCCCGTAAAGGGGCCCCTTAAAGGTACCCCCTATAGATCCCTTTAAAGGAACCCCAGGATTTATATCATCAACCGTCCAGCTCCTTGCTCTTGAAACCCACCTGATAGCGAGTTGGCGCCTCGATGAGACGGCGTTCTGCGACGCGCATGGTCTCCTGGAGCTCCTTCTCCTTGAGGAGAAGCTTTCCTGAGAGCGCAGATGGACTGACTCTCTCTCTCTCTCTCTCCCTCTCTCTCTCTCTCTCTCTCTCTCTCTCTCTCTCTCTCTCTCTCTCTCTCTCTCTCTCTCTCTCTCCTCTCTCTCTCTCTCTCTCTCTCTCTCTCTCTCTCTCTCTCTCTCTCTCTCTCTCTCTCTCTCTCTCTCTCTCTCTCTCTCTCTCTCTCTCTCTCTCTCTCTCTCTCTTGTAATTATATATATATATAGATATAGATATAGATATAGATATAGATATAGATATAGATATAGATATAGATATATATGTATTCACATATGTGCATATATATATATAGAAATGTGTATGTATGTGTATATGTGTGTGTGTCCAATACATGTACATATATATACACACACACATTGCAAATACAGATAATAACACCTGTGTATGCATATATATATATATATATAACATGGTTTGCATACAAACGACATGTGTGTGTGTACTACCTTTCTTTCTTTCGTTCTATCTATCCTTCTGTCTATCTATCCATGTTTCTGTTTCTCTGTCTATCGGCCTATCGGCCTATCGGTCGATCTGTCCATCTGTCTATCTGTCAGTCCATCTGCTATCTGTCCGGACACATGTGTCTATACATACATATATATATATATGTATACATACCTGTCTCGCTCTGTCTGTCTCTCGCTCTCTCTGTCTCTCGCTCTGTGTTTCTGGCGATGCCAGGTGATACAAGTATACAATGACAGATTGATGAACCATGACACAGAAGCAAGCAAATCAGAAGGCTGGGACAGCAGAGGAGTTCCTTCAGCCCAGGCGCTCTTAGCCTCCTGGTCCTTCTTGAAGAGCTGGCTCTTGTGGAGAGTCTCAGACCTACGGCCGATCCGGCATGGCGGCAGGGTCCTAACTGCGTCGCTTCTACTCTGCTTACTTGGGGTTTAGGATGGGTTTGGGGCTCACGGTTTCGGACTGGGGCTTACGGCGAAGGGCGAAGGGTGCTACTCTACGAAGCCAGCAGAAGCGTAACATACAGGGCCTCGGCAGCACTCCTGGCACTGACACAAAGGCTCTGAAGCGCAAGACTCATCCACAGCATGGCCCTTTTGAAGCCCAGAAGTCGCCCCACCCACCCACACCTCTCATGCAGGATCTGCTTGACGGCGGGGAAGGCCTCCCCGGCTGGCCTCCACGCATTCATGCAATGGAGCAGGCTGGGGTATACTATAGCATGCTTCTAAGGAGGAATGTTACGGAGCAATATGGGTAGTTGTCAAAATTGTGGTCCCTTTCTGATATATTAGGTGCAATATTAAGGACCCACAAAGGGACCCTAATTTTGACAAACACCCATATTGCTCATTACCCCGACCCCAAAGGTCTTAACCTTGAGCCCCACAACCTAGCCCGCGGGGGTTGGGGAGTTCGTGCCGGTGGATCGGACCTCGTCTTTAAGTTCGGAGCTGCGTTTAGGCCGTTATACTGTTTAGGGTACTATATTAGGATCCCTTGTTTTTAAAGTTTGGGCTAGGATCATGGGAACACAACAACAAATGAAGACAATTGTAATGCTGATGACTGTCGGTGCCAGTCTATCCTTTTTAGCCCGATTCTTATGATTGCTAGTCTCCCTCCGTTGCTTCATGTGCCTATTCGTCGACCTTTGCAGTCACGATTGTCGCTGCTGCTGTTGCAGACTACGGCGAGGACAGTTAGAGCTGTAATAACGGCGGACTAGCAAAACGACAATAGAGCATTGATGGCCCTGATAGTGATGACATGATGATTGCAGAAGGTGGATGATAACAGCACTCATGATTAAGACGATGCCAATGATGATCGTGATCATGCTGCTGATGATGCTGATGCTGATGCTGATGCTGATGCTGATGATGATGATGATGATGATGGTGGTGGTGATGACGGCGGCAACTCGCATTAGATTCACTAGCTTCGTCTGCAGATGAGAAGACATGCTACCAGTAACCGCCAACATCGGTAAGGCCATGATTCATCTATTGTTTGCTGCCATTGCGACACTATAGCAACCTCATCTCCATAGCGCTTACAGACACAGCACTGGTCGCCCCAAACCGCTGCACTGCCCTACGCTACACCAAATGATGGGAGGTCACAAAGGGGTTGAAGATTCTTGGGGTAGGGATTCCTTAATATGAACCCCCTAATCCCTACTAAACCCCCATAGGCTAAAACCCCTTTTGGCCTCCTATGACTAAAGCCGGGTGAAGCCACGGCCAGGCCTCGCCAGGGAGATGTACTGCTGTAGGCTGTCCAACGCCTGCTGTGCCTCTTCGTGCTGCGTGTCGAAGTAACGGCCAGAGAAGAGGATGCGGACCTGCGCACGGCGTGGGCTGGGTTGGGGCGACCGAAAGCTTCGGGTTTAGGGATTCCGGAATCGTGGGTTGGAGATTCGCCTGAATCCCACATGTCTCCAAGCTCGGAGGAGGTTCGACGACAACGGACGACGGGTGCGCAAGACACACAAGGAAGCCGCCATCGCGACAGTCGAAAAGTGCAGAAAGATCTACACCGACAGGACAAAGCCGCCAAGGACGCTTTGTCTTTGCGGCTCATCATACGTCGCAGTGATAGCCGCGGGGTGGGGGGGGGGGGGGAAAAAGCAAAGGCCTCCTTGCCCTTGTAGAGCTTCGGCAGCTCGTCATGGATCTTGGGGAAGTCTGGATTCGCCAGTGTCCTGTAAGGCGGGGGGTAGGGATTGAATGGAAGTTTACATAGATTCATAGATTAATCGGAGAATACGGTGATATACGGTCTTCGGGACCTTGCAACCTAAACAGGCTCCCGTTGCAAAGATGCAGCCATGTCTCACCCTTCCCATCATACCCCCAATGCATTGTTCGAGCTGTCATAAGCCAGGCGTCTTGAAGTGCTCCCCGACTGCTCCCTGGCTCCAGATCAAGCACTTCCCCTTGGGGACGTTGGAGATGCCGATTTTGCAGTCCTTGCCACGGCTTCGAGGAGAGCTTTGCGGGTCAGGGTTTACGGTTCAGGGTTTAGGGGTTCGGACTCAGAACTGTAGAGGCTTTGGAGTTGAGGTTATCGAGCTTTCTTCATCAACCTATCCTATTCTGGGTCCTACTGATACTCTTGCAGCCAATACACCTCACGTCGCCCAGCAAAAACCCTAAACCCCAAACCCTAAATCCTAAACCCTCGCACAAAGCTCGATCGGCTCTGGTGCACACGGAAAAACAGCTCGGATGTTCGGGAAGGGCTTCGTAACTTGCGGAGAATTCTGTTGCGAAGCGAAAAGCCCTAAACCCTAAGCCCTAAACCGTCTTCATCTTTAGGCGGCAGTCCTCCTTGAGCATCAAGGTCTCCGGTAGCAGCTTTGACTTCACAAATTCCTTTGCGCTGAGGGCTTGGGGTTTTCTCTTAAGTGTGCGGAACCCTTCCGCTCAGGGTCTAAACCCAAAAACCAACCCTGTAGGATACTCAAGGGCCCAACAGCAAGAATTGGGTTCATTTAGAGGCTGCTGTTAAGGGTTCTTTAAGGCTTACTTTAAGGGGTTCAGAGTTTCGGGGTCTGAATGGTTCGCTAACCGATATTGTATGGGTACATATGGACAGTATGGGAATGTTGCTACAAACCATTCAGACCTCTGTGTCAGGCAAGCCGACGATCAGAACGGATACGTCCAGTAACAATACCCCCCTAGAGAGCCTGTAGAGGTTCTTCGGTTGGCTACTATTCCCGGCTATACCACCGCAAAACTGATCCAGAAACACAAACCCTCTACCTCCTGCAGCCAGGGTGCAAGGTCGCGGACGGAATTACACAGGAGCACGCGGATCTGCTCCTTCGCTCTAAGTGGACACTGGACACTGGCCTGAGGCCTATGGCACATATGGCTAACCTCATCAAGTGCGTTGATCTGCGGGGGAAATGGGCTATAAGTTATAAGGTGATCATGACCGCTCCGACCTGCCAACGCTGGCGGGCCTGGGCCTGTCACAACTGCTACTGCTGTGAATATTCGCTCCGCTCTACTGCAACTCTGGTCGAAATCCGCGACTTTCCTCCAAAGCGTCCCATAAGACATCACGCCCGAAACAGCCTTTCTGCAGCTCCTTCTTCACCGCCTCCTCCAACTTTCGCTGGGCATCTTCGGCACGATCCAGTGCTTCCTTCACCTCAAAGCAGAAAGGGAGCGACCTAAGTCTCGACTCTGGGGAGCATGAGCTGGCAATTCACGGTACTTGTGGTGCAGAAGGAGGTACGAGTATTCGGAGCAATCTGTTGCCCTAGTTAAGTATTTCAATGCCGTCGAGAAAGACTTCCGAGATCGAAGCCCGGAAGCTGGAGAAAACTGCACGGGGAGAGGAGAACAGGAAGTTCAACAAATGCAGACATGATTAACAGACAAACACACACTCACAGAATACAAGACGGCGAAGATGGACAACAGCAACATCACTCCCAGCCCAAGCCCAGACCCCGCCCATCTTCGCCTTGTGCTCCCAGAAGTACTCTGCCGCCTGCGGGGTCGATACTTCAAGGCTTCGGGCTTAGCGCTTGGGCGCGTTGAGGGCTTAAGGCCTTGAGGCTGGGTGAAGAGGTTTCAGGATTAGGATTTCGGATCGGAGCCCGATGTTGGCAGCTTGATTTGACCTCATCAACTTGTGAAAGAAACCCTGGCCTGGGATTTACTCGCGCACGAATGGGAAAGAGCCCAAGTCACTCATCCCCATGCACATCCGGAGCTCCCAAGCACCCTCCCACCCTGCAGCCGTAAACCCTAAACCCTTAAACCCTAAACCCTAAAGCCCTAAACCCTAAACCCCAGCCCTCTAAACCCCAGCCCTCTCCTCATAGTGGCGACTTATGTCCGCGATGAGGCTCTGCACCCGCTGCTGTTGGATCAGCTGCCCATGCCAGGCACGGGTGATCCAAAGCATAGACAGCTCCCGGGCCTGACTCGGCAAGAGTTAACTCACAATTGACTCTAATAGCACTATAACTATACAATAGTTAAAATAGAAATATACAATAGTTATAGTTATGGGTAATTATACTATAATTATACTTTGTTTATACTTCGATATGTAAGTGGTTGCTCTGGCTTTCATATTGGCACACAGCCGTCTCAGCGCTGCTTCAGGTGGAGGCCGAAGCAGTTGAGGACGAGGGTGTCCCAAGAAGAAGACGGAATAACACTAACATTCGAACACATATAACTGGCAATCATGACAGAACATGTAAAGCGATTGCTTTGTGTGGCTGGCACTGGCGAAATCATAAAACCACTGTATCGATCCTCTCTTCGCATCCCCAGCCCATCCTATCCCCCCATCTGACTCATAATCCCCGACACCAAGGACGACGACATTGAGGATATGTATGTACGTATTCTTTGCCGTCGCCACACCTTAAAGCTTAGGCGGTCCAAGAAGCATCCGGCGAAACTTTCATGCAATTACCCCCCCGCTGGCCCGGCCTGGGTCTCCTCGTAGGAAGGCTTGAAAGCAGCGAAGAAGTTCACCAACGGCTCCTGCAAGGCTCCGGGTTGGTTTAAGGGTTTAGGACTTGGGGTTTAGGGCGCCCGGGGTTGAAACTCGGTTTTGCGAGGTGGCTTGCAGGATTGGATCTCTGTCACCTGAGTAAGTCGTAGCAAAGTCCTCTACAACTTCACTGGGTGTTGGACTAATGAGAGAAACAGCTGGCATAAACCTAGCCTTGTTGCAAAATTCCAGGAGCTAAGTCGAGGGAAGAGTTGGGAATGAAAGTAGACAATGATTAACTATAATAGTACCATAATTATACGATAATTATACCATAATTTTACTATCTCAAGCTATCAAACCCCAGAAACTCCGCAGCCCCCAGTGCCCCAAGCATCCAGAAAGCCCGAACAACCTCTGAGCCGATATGCCACACTTTTAAGCTTAGGGTTTAGGGTTTAGGGTTTAGGGTTCAGCAGCTCTGACTTTGAAGATTTCACGTCAAGCTTATTTTAGTCAAGCTATCTTCAAGAAGAAACCCCACCCGCCCAGAGAATCCCCTCACATTAGAATTAAAAGTTTTATTTCTTTTGGCATGAACTATTAAATAATAACTTACATACAACTCCAAGAATTTTCATACGGTTCGCCCTAGTTCCCAAACCCTAGGCCCTAAACCCGAATGCCCAAACCCTAGCCCTAAACCCTAAGGCCCAAACCCTAGGCCCTAAACCCTCGGGCCCAAACCCTAGGCCCTAAACCCTAGTGCCCAAACCCCAGGCCCTAAACCCTACGGCCCAAACCCCAGACCCTAAACCCTAGGCCCTCTCGGCCCTAAACCCTAGGTCCCAAGCCCTAGGCAAACCCTAGGCCCAAACCTCAGCCCTGAACCCCTAAGCCCTAAACCCTAGTGCCAAATGCTAGGCCCTAAACCCTAGCGCTCAAACCCCAAACCCTAGGCCCTAAACCCTAGGGCCCAAACCTTCCCTAAACCCTAGTGCCCAAACCCCTCTGCCCCAAACGCTGCAGCCTAAACCCTAAGGCCCACCCTAGGCCCAAACCCTAGGTCCCAAGCCCTAGGCCCTAAACCCTAGCGCCCAAACCCTAGGCCCTAAACCCTAGGGCCTAAACCCTAGGCGCTAAACCCTAGGGCCCAAACCCTAAACACTGGAAAAACGTCCAAAGCCACGAGTTTTGATCCAAAGCCACGAGTTTTGATCCAAAGCCACGAGTTTTGATCCAAAGCCACGAGTTTTGGTCCAAAGCCACGAGATTTGATCCAAAGCCACGAGTTTTGATCCAAAGCCACGAGTTTTGATCCAAAGCAACGAGTATTGATCCAAAGCCACGAGTTTTGATCCAAAGCCACGAGTTTTGATCCACAGCCACGAGTTTTGATCCAAAGCCACGAGTTTTGATCCAAAGCCACGAGTATTGATCCAAAGCCACGAGTTTTGATCCAAAGCCACGAGTTTTGATCCAAAGCCACGAGGTCATTAGGGTTTAAATTACTATAGGTAGAGAGGTTTAGGGTTTAGGGTTTAGGGTTTAGGATGGTTTAGGGTTTAGGGCGTCTCGCCGCGCAGCGGCAGTATTTTCTATGTAGGATGGCGCCCCAACACTCCCAGGGGTGTGGGGGGGCGGCATATCGACGTCTAGCGGTCGAATGCGATTCCACCACTAAACAATCACACATTGGTTCCTCACCTTTTCCCACCCGCTGTGAGAATACACAGGCAACCACCCAAGACATTGCCTTTTTGGGTTTAGCGCTTACCCTCAATTCCCACCTGCCCGGTCTGTCTGTTGGGGCCAGGAAGGCCGCACCTACACACGCCACAAAACAGAGCGGGTCAGGCAGGTGGCGAGGGAGCCAGGGGCCAGGAAAAAAGACGCCAGGTCTCCCTCTACAACCCCAGCAAACCCCCGAGTCCCTGCAATTTGCCAGCTGGGGGGCCCCCTGGGCCGGCTTCTGGGGCCTTTTCTGAAGGGGGCCAAAGGGAAATGTCCACCAAGGGCTTTGGTCGTCGGGTTTAGGGTATTCTAATCTCTTGAGATTCGAAGGAATTCCCTCTGCGAATATGGGCGCCACGCAAGGGGCCTAATGGCTTGGCTCAGCCCTAGGGGCTGAATTCGACCACTCTCCAATGGCTCCACCCATTGTCCATCCAGAGTTGGTGTCAATCACTGCCGGATTTCCTTCTGGGTCCAGGCACCCTAAGAAAAAGGGTGGGTACGGCCTAAGCAGGCCTGGGTGGGAATTTAGGGTTTAGGGTTTAGGGTTTAGGGTTTTAGAAGCTCCCAAACCCGGTGCCTAAACCCTAAACCCCGAAACCCTAAACTCTAACCCCCTCTTTTAAAAAACCGCAAGGTGGGCTCCGGCATGCTCTGGTTCACCTCTCGGCCGCTCTCCCACCGCCTCATGAGCACGAGGACCTTCGCTTCCGTGGATACATGAAGGATCCGTAGGGGTTCTTATAAGGGTTCTAAGTGGGTATAGCCCGCTGAGGGACTTGACACCCAAACACCTTTAAACCGATAATTATCCATAGGCTGCATAGTAGTTTCTTTTGGGGATGACCTTACAGGATTCTAAATAGTATCCATTCATCCGATCTTCTGAAGCCAGGAAACCCCATCTTTCATGAGTTCGAGCTCAATGTCCGGGCGGAAGAGCTTCCTCGGCGCTTGTGAGAAGGAGCCTACTCTAAGATTCCATACCATGCGACACCATAATAACGGAGTGTAGGGTTTAGGGAACTAAAAGCAGAGTCCTTACGGCATGTCCCGATTGCGGTAACTTTACTTAAGTTCCGCAAGAAAAGCCAAGTTTCCGGATGGTTTCGGGCATGTCTTCCTTGACGATCCTCGGTAGGTTTCGCCAGAGACTGGTCAGAACTTCCAACTGCGCGATCACCAGCTCCTCGCGCAGTTCCGCGTATTCCCGCCCCGGGAAGTAGGAGAAGAGAACCGAATCTGGAGCCGGGGAGAAGTGCTCATGGAGTTTCAGGGCGCTGGGGATGAAGTCGTCGTAGAGCAGGTTCAAGCCGGCAGACATCAGGGACCTAGGTCATGGTTGGGATAGGATTAAAAATCTAAATCTTCATTCCTTATCGGGTTTAAGTACCCATAAAAATGTAAAAATGTTACCCAGCTATGACAAAGGGACAGGGCCATGTCACACTTGGTTCGGAAGAGGAAGGTGCGACTCAAGATGGCATCCTCGGACTGGTTTCGGGTTTAGGGTTAAGGGGTTTAGGGGTTTAGGGGTTTAGGGTTTAGGGGTTTAAGGTTTAGGGTTTAGGGGTTTAGGGGTTTAGGGGTTTAGGGGTTTAGGGGTTTAGGGTTTAGGGTTTTGGGTGGTGCTTAGCAGGGAATGGGGGAAAGGATCCCAGGGTGCCTACAAGGGATCTATAGGGCTCCTTTAAAGCGATCTATAACGGTTCCTTTTAGGGTTCCTTTACTGTCTGCTTAGTAGGGAATGGGGGAATGGATCCCTTTTGTAGTCCCAAAACAATCCCCAAGAATAGTCTCCATAATCCATTCCCCCAATTCCCTACTACGGCTAATGATAAATCCTTAATGACCGTAGACTATGGGAATTATGGTACATTCCTTATTGTGGGTAGCCCAGGATTGATATCATCAACCGTAAGAACCAGACAGTCCTTGAGTTCTGCATAGTCCCCTTCCTGGAGGCTCCTTCTGCCACTGTCCGCGATCTCCTGTCTGGTTCATAGTAGGGAAATGGGGGAATGGATTATGGGGACTACTATAGTAGGGACCTAAAGGGACTATCATAGGGCTCTAGAAGGGTTTAGGGTTTAGGGAATGGGGGGGGGGGAATGGGTTATGGAGACTACTATTGGGGGATTATATGGGGACTACTAGAGGGATCCATTCCCCCATTCCCTACTTGGAGGGTCGGGGGACTTAGTAACTGGTTATTTTAAGGACTTATAAGCACCATAACCCTAATTAGGGTCCCGTTTAGGGTACTTATAAGTCTACTTACTACCTACTTACTAAGTCCCTCGACCCTCCAAGTACTAAGCACCAGACAGTCTCCTTCCAAGTGGGCAGAAGCGTGGCGATGTCCTCGGCCTGGGAAACGGCCTTCTTCACCGTTCCGCTGCTGTCCTGTCCGAGTTTTAGCCTGCAGATTCAACCAATCGCAAACCCTAAAAACCCTGGATCAAGCTGAAAAACACAAACAACCCAACTAAACTGCTAGATTCTACTGTAGGACTTCGAAAGAACTTGCGTGTAGTGCTTCGAAGATGGTTTAGGGTTTAGTCTTCCTGTCCTCTCCCCTGACGCCACGGGACCGAAAGGTGAGGACGACGGGCTCCTCGCTCTCTTCCTGAAGACGTCTTAAACATAGTATTCTTGTCGCATCGAAAACTTTATAGTATAGTAAACTATATATACTATACTAGACTATATTACACTATACTTAACCATACTATACTATACGAAAGTGACATTCATAGTTTAGGAAGAGCCCTAAACTTAGGTTTGAGGGTAGAGGGCTTATCTCAGAGATCTCGTGGGCTCTTCATGCTTTGTTGCTTGAGGCTTGGCAAAACTCAGGGCCCTTGGGTAGGTAGAACATAGCATACCTATGTAGGGGCTTTAAAGGGGATACGATCACCTCTTTCTTCCGACCTCTGTGCTTAAGCCCTAAACCCTGAACCCTAAATCCTAAGCCCAAAACCCCTACATCCCATTATCGAACCCTTGTAGGAACCCTTAAAGGAACCCTTGAAAGGGCCGCCTTAAAGGAACCCTTAAAGGATCCCTTACAGGAACCCGAACCCTCCTGAAGGAGCTCGCGCATCTCTGCTGGGCTGTTGATCTTCTTCGCCGCCCCCTCCTTGAAGGCTCAAAGGGTCTGGGCTTTGGGGTTTCGGGCTTTGGGTTTAGGGTCTAGGGCTTAGGGCTTAGGGTCTAGGCTTTAGGGTTTAAGGTTTTAGGGTTTAGGGTTTAGGGCTCTAAGGGTCTTTACCGCGACGGTTTAAGATTCGGGGTTGTAGGGGTTTGAGGGGATGAGGGGGTGTAATAAATAAAATTAGGAAAATAACAGGCATGAAACTACGTGATATTAACAATAATAAGAAGAAGGAGAAGGAGAGAAGCAATAATAACCGTCGTCGTCATACAAAGTAAAGCAGTAACGCTAATAATCATACTCCTGACAGCAACGATAATAACCACAGTAATGGTCATACAAATGATACGGTTGATGATTTATATCATCAACCATAGTAGTGAGTCCTTCTCCCGGTCATCCAGCAGCTCGATCTCCAGGAGCTCGTCCCCGAGCTGCAGGCCCGAGCTACGGGCGATGGTGCCTTCCTGGGCTGACAAGAGTGCTCAAGATAGGCTCCTTTAAGGGATCTATGGGGTTTAGGGTTTAGGGTTGATGATATAAATCCTGCATTACCTTAAGGACCCTAAACTATGGGAATTATGGCGTATTCCCTATTATGGGTCATGCAGGATTTGTATCATCAACATAGGGGTCTTGATAAGTAGAATTGGAGTTCCTTTAAAGCGGCCTATAAGGGATCTATAAGGTTAGAATGCGGCTCGGGCTCCTTTATGGTATAGTTACAACAAGGAACCCTAAGGAATGATATTGGTAACTATTTAGGCTTCTATATCAGGGATTTAAAGCGCTTGACATTTCGGCCCAATGAACGGTAGCCCCTCCTTACCATGCTATCGGGTGCAGGGGGTGGGGGCCGCGAGTGGTGGTCGAAGGATCAGGTTTAGGGTTTAGGGATTAGGGATCAGTTCAGAACCAGGCGAAGTCGCATCCTCTTTGTTTTCCCAAGCCAGAATTTTCACCGGGTCAACATCGGAGTCGGCGTCGGGACTGAACACCACCTCCATCAACAAGTCCCCGAGGCATTCGTACTCAACCCGAATGTCCTTCAGTGCGTTTCGGGTTTGGGGTTTAGGGTTTAGGGTTGATCTTTGCAACAAAAGGGAAAACACACACTCACGCAGCCACGACAAGGCCTGCCTTCTGGTTGCGAATCGGGTGAAGCAAGCTCGAGAGGACGCGGACATACAGATCGGGATCAGACTGCAGAATTCCTGAAGGCAGGGAAGCCCGTCCTTCTTGAGAAAACCGTCTCCAGGGATCGAAAGAAAAGGACAGTTGTATCATAATCTTCAGAGTTCTCTTTACAGAAATGCTGGCGGCCCCTGGCAGTCAGCGTCCACACCCAAACTATCGGCCACATTTTAGAAACGCATGATTTCCTAATTTGCATCGAGCTAGCAACCACCATCTTCATGATCTGCGTAACAAACATACGTACATACACACATTCATGTGTGGATGTGCATAGGTACAGATATAGATACAGATAGATAGATTTGTACATATGTATATACACATATATATATATATATATACAGCTATCTATCTATATTATTGGCGGGGGCCTCCAAAAAGAACGTCTTAGCAATCTAGATGTCATCCGAAAACCTTTCTTGATGTTGTTAGACGCGTATTTGCAACTGTTTCAACTGTTTTATATTCTAAGGAAGACTCTTCCAGGATGACTGTCTCGACAGTGTCTGGAAAACACTCTGATTCCATTGGGGGTGCTCTAGTCATAAGACAAAGTGTTGCTGGCATACTATCACTATGGTCCTTGTGCTTGCACAACATCATAAGCTGAAACTCATTCATGTGTGCGGCATATGCACCTCTGGTAGAATACTCTTGCACCACTACGAACGGCTTTTTATGACTCAGGTAACCTATGCCATGTATACTATGCTGCTAATCGTTTTTTCGGGCTTCGCATGTTAACACTACTAAACCTGTATTTTATGTAACACCTTCGCTCATTACCAACGTGCTGTGGGAGCGGGTACAATATGCTGACTCGCTGGCAAAACTTATCAGGAAATTGGGCGTTTGATAGAATAAGGGACCCAAAGATAGACCCTCAACGCCAAACTCCTGAGTCTAAGGTGCTCGGAAAAGGTATCTGAATTTTCCAAACACACTCACTGCAGAACGTGACCTGCCACACCATCGACGCCCGTGGTACGCGCATTGAACGCTACCACTGTCAGCGTGCGGTACTTCTCAGCAGCAGAGGTCTGCAGCTGTACGCTGTCCTCGGGGCTTGAGGGGTCCAACCCATACTATTTTGGGGTTTACTTACTTTTACTAATAGTATAATTATAGTAGACTATTTTGGGGGCTCCTTGTTATGATTATAGAAAACTGTTTATCATGAGAAGCTTTGCGACACGTCGAAACTGCTGCCACGCTTCGGAAAGGAGGTGAATCTGACTTGCAGCCCACTGATAAGTACTGGAGTCATCCTTGCTCCCGTACTCCGAGGCTTCCACTAGAAAGGAAGTGCCGACACACTGCTCCAAAAGCTGTGGTTTGGCAGCGACCTCCTTCTCCTCCTCCTCGTCTACTGCCTTGCTGGCGTCCATACCTCAGCTGCCAAAGCAGGGAGTGGGACAGCGATGAAGCAGTTTGTGATCTTGCGAAAGACAAGCAGTTGCAAGCATGCAGCCCTGCGAGAAGCTCACAGCAGCAGAGGTCCAGCCAGCAGCATGCTTCAGCATGACCTGCACTGCCACCGGCGGAATTCAGCGAATTTACCAAAAAAAGATTGAAAATCTATAGAGATCCCTCCTCCAAACCCTGGCACCTGAACCCTAAACCCTATGCACCCTAAACCCCTGAACCCTATACCCTATATACCCAAGAAACCTATATACCCTACAAAACCCTATACACCCTACATACCCTACATACCCCCAAAACCCTATATACCCTATATACCCTATATACCCTATATACCTATATACCCTATAAACCCTATATACCCTAAACCCTCGTTTCCCTGGCACCTTGTTGCCGACTCTGATTGGAGTCTCCGAGTTGTCCGCGGCCCTGGAGTTGCCACAAGATTACGTCGAGGTTGCGAAGCAGATCATTCTGCAGGGGCCTTAATAGTTAGAAAAGTGTTTGGGGCATATACAACCCTCGGCCCTAGACATCGCCAGGCCCTAAACCCCTAAAGCCCCCAAACCACTAAACCCCGAAGCTCTGCACAGAACCTCACGAATTGCACGATGTACTCGCCCTTGGCGGCAGCCGCTTCATGAGGCAACCTGGAGTTCCCCAGGTCGTTGCCGCCTGGTCCACCGCTTGGTGCTTAGAGCTCAGGCTGAGGGTTCAGGACTTTGCGGATGAAGGTTTACAGTTGAGGGCTTAGAGCTGAAAGACTTCGGGATGAAAATTTTACGGTGGAAACTTTAGGGTTTCGGGTTCAGGATTGAAGGTACAGGCACGAAGTATTCCGGTAGGGACTCTATCTCGTCGAGGTTCTCCAAAAGGGAAGTAGGTGGGGTTGGGGGAGAATCCGGAATCCTTCTAACCCGATTTCCGGATACTTCGATCTCGCTGCAAGCAGCGGAAAGCGCAACTTTGAGTAGAAGAGAGCAGAATCGGGAATGCTGCTGCGTTCGATGGTCCGCTCTACGGACTTGCCTAGTCACAATACTGGTGTTGGTCCAGTGGCTTGTCCATGATACTGGCTGAATGGCTAATGGTACCTAAGTTGACCGAGAAGTGCTTGGCTCTCTTTTTCTACAGCAGACCCCATATACCCTATATACCCTAAAAACCCTATATACCCTATATACCCCAAATACCCTATATACCTATCCGAACCACAACTCACGCAAGCCCGGCCGTCCGAGACGGTGGAGGACATCTTGGCGTACTTGCCACGGGGTGATCGCTTCGCACCTTGCCTCAGACTGGAGAGTCAAACTCCCTGGGTTTTCAAACCAAAAAAGATTATGTATGGGCTGTAGGGCCTTATGCTCCAGGCGAGATATATGCCAGGATCCCTTCAACAGACTATCGGAAATCCGAGTCGTGAGCACTCTTTGCTGTAAGCGACGCAAGATTCTGTAGGTACATTCAAAGGGGCTTTGTGTACTTGGTGTGTCGGGGGCTCAGAGGTCTTAGGGTACCAGCCCTAGATCTGGTCTTCGGCGCAGGGCAAACTCCCTTCGACGTCACAGGAATCTATGAACCTGCTATGTGAGACTTCGCAACAGTTGACCCGAAATCCGTATACCCTCCAAGCCTCCCACTCTCCGAGCCCTGTCGCCACGGAGTCTTCTACGCCCTCAAACGCTGCAGAACGAAAGCAGCCCAGCTGCAGGATCTCATCCACCATGGCTCGAGTGGCCACCTCGCCGTTGATGGCCAGGATGGTCCAGCCGGAACCGTTCCAGCCTTGGCTCTCCATGCTTCGAAGTTACAAAGCACCAAATGTGCTACCTAGTGCTATCTAGACATATATGTGGTTTATATGTGTGTCCGTATATATGTATGTGTATACTATGATACGGCTTGGTATGATACGAGATGATATGATATGCGATGAGATGCTATGGCATGCTATGACATGCTAGGATACGATCAGATACGACAAGACCTGAGATGGGACGAGATGAGATGTGATCTGACACCAGGTGAGATGACATCATATGATATGATATGATGTGCAACAATACGAAATGAGGCGACATGATACGGTATGTGTCAAAGGATATGTGATGTGAGATATGTGGTGATATGATATGATATGCTTCGACCTACTTATCGAAACGTAAGACACATGATTTTCTTCCTGAGATGATATGATATGACGTGATTTCTGACATATGACATATAGTATATGATATACGATGTATGGTGCATGATACACGATATACGAGAATAGGTATATGATGTACAATGTATGATGTACGATATATGTGTGTATGATATACTTGGCATGTGTATGTGTGTATATATATATATATAGATGTATATGCGTATAGGAGGAGATGAATATGTGTCAAGGCATGTATGTATTGCATTCGTGTCGGAGGCCCACAGTAAAAGCGCAGGGATCAGGTTCTGAGAGGATTCTAGATTGCCGCTTCGGTTTAGTTGGCGGAGGGGCCACTAATCATTTAGGCTTAGGGCCGCAGCTTCGTGGTGCGGCTTAAGGGCATTCGTTTCTGAGTACTTGGGAGACCAAGCCACCCTTGCTGCTCTGCCCCTTCTGTCGCGCCTGCCGCAGCTCGGTGACCTAAGCAAGGAGACTTCATCCTGAACGGCAAACCACCAACGGAACAGCAAGCTTCGTCAGGCTAGGTCTGCGACCTCTAACCCACTTCCCATGCGCACATGTTGTGCGAAGCGCAGCGGGGAACGATAGGTATCTTCGTGCACCAAGACCATGGACATCAGCGTGGCCTCCTCCGACTCCCAATGCTTATGACATTTCAGCTCAAGCTGGTCCGCAGATCTCTCCAGCCCAACGAGGTGTCCAGTTGCTAAGCATCGCAGCCGAACACGCTCACCGGAGAAGAGAGGTCGATGAGCCTCCGAAGCGTTCCCCACGGTCTCCACTACAAACTTCTGCAGCGAGAGGTCGTTGGGCATCATCCCAAGAAGCTTGGAACCGCTCACCGTCAGGCTCCTATAGGGGCGTTAATAATTAGAATAGGGTTTTGGGGCCCATTATACTATAATTCTGATAAGGAGCCCCCAAAATAGTGTAGGTACTTAGTCAGGCCCCTACATTTTACATCTCCCCCCAAAAAAACACAGGCTCCCGACGGCGGGCGCGCGCAGCGTGACCAGGGAGTCGTTCTCGAGTTGCCGCGCGTCGCTCCGCTGGCTGCCGCGGAAGCCCTCCAAGGCCGCCAGGGCCTGTGGAGAGGGAACTAAAAAGAGGGTTTAGGGGTTTAGGGGTTTAGGGTTCAGGGGTTTAGGGGTCTAGGGGTTTAGGGGTTTAGGGTTTAGGGTTTATGGGTTTAGGGGTTTAGGGGTTAGGGTTTAGGGTTTAGGGGTTTAGGGTTTAGGTTTTAGGGAGGGGCCTTAATGATTAGAATGGGGGGTTCCTTTAAGGGCTCCTTTTAAAGTGTTCTATAAGGGTTATAAGGGTTTAATACAGGGGCCTCAATGATTACGATACGGCTTCGGGATATATTATACGACGCTTAAAATAAGGGACCCCCCCAAAACAGTTTGGATAATTCTTAAGGCCCCTATGTTATGGTCTTGATTTCTTGAGTTCAGGAGCTCGCATGCTCGAAAGTTTCAGAGTTTTCGGCCGCTTTCAAGAACCATCCCAAAGCTGCGCGAGACATCCCTCTCGAAGAAACTCACATCCTGAATCTCAAGGCACCCAGCACAAACCAAACACACCTTCGAAGCCCCCTGCATAATGCAGGAGCCTCAATGTGATTAGACTAGGGTTTTGGTATATAGTATAGTACAACGACAATAACCCCAAGGGTAGTATTGGTAATCAGTCAAGCCTCTCCATTATCCTCTGCAAACTACACCCTCAAACGTCCGTAAACCCCTGAACGCTACACGTACTACTGTAGCGGCCTTAATCGCTAGAACAGGGAACTGGGGCATATTATAGTAGAAGCATGGCTTCTGCATCGCAGCTCCGCCTGCCCGATACAAATCGTCACCTTGGCACGCAGGAAGCAGGCCTCCCAGGAAGCCGTCGGCTGCACCAGACCTGCTCAGTCGAATCAAACCTCTGCGACTTGCTATCGCTGTCGTTGTTGTGCTTCTTAGTTACTATGGTCTATTACCAGTATTGCTACGATTAGTGTGTTTGCTATGATTTTCGCTGTTATTGCAGTGTTCTTCTTCTTCCTGGCATTACGAGTTCTTCGCGAGTCAAGACCGAAGGCGCTGCTGTGCTCGTTGCTAGTCCTGTTCTGCCCATGATCCTGAGAGTTTCAACTGCAAGTTCTGACTGCTTGTCTATGGAATCTATTCACGATTACTCTTGTTATTCTCTTTTGTATTTGTATTATTCTTGTTGCTGCTACTATTCTGATCATCATACTCTTCTTGCTGTTGCGCAGCCTGCTTCCTTCGCGTGCCATCGGCAGGCTGAGCTACTCATCCCAGGATCCGTCTCAAGGATCCTCATGATGAGCCCCAGAGCATCCCTGTCAGAGTCGTGGTCCTGCTTTCTCGTGTTAGGTTCAAGGGCCTACTTAAAGGATCATGCGACTTAGTAACTAGGGTTCCCTACAGGGCTCCTGTTAAAGGGATCTATACGGGTTCCATAAGGGGTTTAGGATATACTTAAAGGATCATGAGGCTTAGTAACAAGGGTTATAAATAAGGTAACTATACTTATAATTACTTGTAACCCCAATTAAGGTACCTAGAACCTTACTTACTAAGTTCCCTGATCCTCCAAGTACGGTTTACAGGACACAAGCTATGACGGCGATCCTTGAGGATCCGGTTCTTCAGCGCATGCTGCACATTGTTGAACTCAGCACTACTCCAGATGTCCGAGACCGGCGAGTCCATCAAAGTTCTGACGCTTAGCACAGTCCTCGCACCAACGGGCTTCAGGGGTCTGGGGCACAAGGCAAATCCAAAAAGTGCGCCGAGCTCGAGCTGCAGACATCATGCTGCGACTTGAGATGATACGCAGTATCCCAGGTCCTGATGACGATGGCAAGCAAGAACATAGCCAAAGTGCTGGTCAGAAACCCAGCAATCACAAGGCCGTCATCCTCAAAGAGATCCTGTGCAGCCTCGAGTTCCCACTCGAGCCATCGGCCACAAACAGCAAACATCGCTCCAATCTCCAGCAACCTGCAACTACCAGGGTCAGGAGACAGGGCTACTTAAAGGATCATGGGACTTAGTAACTGTTTACCTTACTTACTAAGTCCCCTGATCCTCCAAATAATCACTGCAGCGTGCCAGTAGCTACCTGTCCGAATTCAGGCAACACGTTGGGCAAGAAAAAATACTGATAGAATGCAATCGCCCTGTTCACTAAACCCAAATTCACTAAACTCTAGGCCCGTTTGTCCCACCTGCCTCACAGCATAGTACGCCCATGGCGGGATAGTCAGAACGGTATCCTGCTCCAACATTGGCCTTCGGCTGGCAGAGTGCTGCTAGAGAGAAACTCACCAAAGTCCAGACCTATATGCCAAACGCCAAACCAAACCCTAAAACACGGAAACTCTGAAACCCTAAACCCTAAACCCTCAAACCCCAAACAGTAAGCCCTAAACCCTAACCCTCAAACCCTCAAACCCTGAAACCCGACACAGAGACTTGGAGGCCTGCGGTTCGAAACCGGGTATACTTAAAGGATCATGGGACTTAGTAACTAGGGTTATAAATAAGGTAACTATCCTTATATTTACTTATAACCTCAATTAAGGTACCTAGAACCTTACTTACTAAGTCCCCTGATCCTCCAAGTACATTGAAGGGAGATCCCGAAGCCTAAATTGCGCCTACATCTTGACCGCGGGTCCTTGTACCCTCTACCCTTCTTTCGGAACCTTGTAGAACATGTCGTATGTAATATGAACTATTTGAAAGTGTACATATATATATATATATGTCGGTGCTCCCGTGTCAACATACACTGTGCTCCATGTTATATCTAATTCTACATCGCATGTGGTACTACAGACCCAAATACCACCGGTATGGGAACACAGAAGAACTCAAAACCCTATACCCTGAACCCTAAACCCTCACCGTATGGGAAAATAGAAGAACTCAAAAGCCTACCCTAAACCCTAAACCCTATACCCTAAACCCTATACCCTAAACCCTAAACCCTATACCCTAAACCCTAAGCCCTAACCTGGATCCTTAAGTTCTTGCCCAGTTGCGCCATTCGACAGCAGAGGACCGAGGGGAGCACATAGAAGAAGTTCTGGCCTTGTGCTTCTAGGTATTACTTGGAGCCGCTTCGACTTTTAAGCTTCTTTGTCACGAAGGGAGTCGATACCAGTCTCATTCTGAGGGTTATCGCGGTTCTTCAGGTTCTGGTATGGTTTGTGCTACTGTTACGGCCCGAGTACTTGGAGGATCAGGGGACTTAGTAAGTAAGGTTATAGGTACCCTAGGTGGGGTTATAAGTAATTATAAGTATAGTTACCTTATTTATAGCCCTAGTTACTAAGTCCCATGATCCTTTAAGTAGGTATTATAAAGGGATTACAAGGGTTTTAACATTTGCGGGGATCTATAGGGGATCTGTAAGGGTACTATAAGAGTTCAGGGTTTAGAGGCTACTCTCCTAGGTTTGTGAGTAACCCCTTGATAGTAAGGGTACCCTTTTTCCTACTATTCGGGTTTAATAAGGGGACCCTAAAATGTAAAAGCACAAAAGGGTACTACGTACTCAGGAACCTAGGCTTCGATCTCTTCTAGAGGGCTCCTCCCCCAGTCACCTGGGATTTAGGCTTTGTGTCAAAAGCTTCTGGGTTCTGGCATAAGGATTTTTAGGGTTCTGGGGTCATGGCTTCAGCGTTTTGGGGCTTTAGCACTTCAGGGCTTTAGAGTTTTTGGCTGAGGACTTCCTAGCAATCCATCGTGAGATCACATACAAGCGTACACCCACACCGCACGATGCCAAGTAGCACTGCACAAATTGCATGACGGTATATGTACAATACGATGCGACCTGACGTTATGAAGCATGATATACTGTAGTTACCGTAGATTCGCTCCGAAAGAAAAACGGCGGCCCGGCATGCTGCAGCGTACGACACAACAACAGAAAGGCACATGGAAAGCACCGAATTCCCGCAGGAGTCTTGCAACAAAGGCCCCGACGAACAAAGGCTAGTCTGCCAATTGGGGTGTACTTTCCCACCTGGGATTGAAATAAAACGGTGAGGGAGGCCATGATCAGGGCATCCGCCGCGATCAGTACAAACATGCCATATGGCCGCGTGATGGCTTGGAAAAGCGCCAGTGACGTGGCACGCGACGTGATCTCGGCCACTCGGAAGAAGAAGACTGTGAAGAAACGGCCATCGAAGTTCTTGCAGAAGCCTGGAATTTTCACCAGCATCCGGCCGTTCTTAAGCATGTCGATGGTGCTAAAAGCATAGCCGATGGAGACAAAGGACATGAAGATAGAGAAGTAGAGCTGGCTCTTCTGCGTCCAGGTCATCTCGGTGGTGAAAACGACGGCCTCGGTCCACAAGAGCTAGGAGCCCATACCATACTTTGCCATCCATAATCACTATTATTACTATTATTACTGTTATTACTAAATTATTACTATTATTACTATTGTTACCATGATTGCTATTATTTTACTAATATTACGACGGGCTAGAGATGAACCCAGGACCTAAACCCAAGAAGTACAAAAGGGTACCACCCGAAAGCTCGAAGCATAGGTTTGGATGTAAGAGGAGAAGGAAGACTCCAGAATGGCCTCCGAAAGCGTGGAGACAAAGAGGAAAGGATGCACCTGCAACAAGAATCGTAATGCCCCCTCCTTTGGTTCAGGCTTAGGGTTTATGGCTTAGGGTCTAAGGTTTAGGACTTAGGGTTAGGGTTTAATGTTGAGGGCTTCGGGGAATTGGGTGGGTCCATGCCCTCTGAGGCCCCGCTCCGGCCTCTCCCCTGAACAAGGAGAGGATGGCCAGGTAGGTGACGTGCTGGCCCAGAACTGGCAGCGTGAGCCCTGCGAAGAAGATCTCGGCGCGCCCGATTTTCGAGCCGGACGAGATGACCTGGCACCATCGCGGTCGTCATCGTCAGCATCATCATCATGAACGTGCTTCTCATCTTCATATCTTGCTGATTTCACCGACATGATCATGATGAACCGTCAGTAGTGTAGTCGGTGTAGTACGGATGCTTCTGTCGGGGGCGGGTCGGGGGGAGTTGGAATCAAATCACGTGAGGCGATTCTCACACAGAGGAAACAAAGCCTAGCGGCCATGTAGAACTCGTAGGCCGTCCAGAAGAAACCCAAGAAAACGCCCGCCAGATTGAGGAGAAAGAAGGCTATCTCCTCGTGCTGCATGAAGATCGTCATCGCCTGCACGTCCATGGCCAGATCCACTGTGTAGCGAAGCCACATCATGATGATGACCTGGAAGCAAAAGAGCGCAGCCACACGGATACGCCAGCACCTGTTCCAGCCAGGGATGGAACTCCCAATCAACGCATGATTACAGAACTAATAACTGATAGTAGATTCATACAAACCATGCTGCTGCCATAAAAGCAGTAATAATAATACAGAAAAGTGCAGTAGTAACAATAAGAGAAAATAGCAAAACCAGCTTAAGGCATGTAGGATGCTGGCTGCAACCCAGGCCTTAGCACGAAGAGGCCTCCAGCCTAAGATGATCCCAGCATGACACCAGCTGTGCCAAAAGCTCGGCTGAATTCGAAGGGGCAAGTTTTAGCTTAAACTGCAACGTAAAAATGCAGGGCCTCGCAGGGGGACACTCTTGCTAATTCTTCCGAGCCCCCTATCTTCCTTGAGGCAAGAGGCAGAGCGCTGAGAGTAGAGCTTCTTCAGCTCTGCCATAGACTCCTCATCTGTCCTCGGCTGCTTACTTGGAGGATCATTGGACTTAGTAAGTGAGGTTATAAGTACCTTAAGTGGGGTTATAAGTATAGTTACCCTAGTTATAACCCCAGTTACTAAGTCCCATGATCCTTTAAGTACCAGGTCGGGAGCTGAGCAAAGGCTGAGGGTTCAGGGCTTTCGGGGTTTAGGGCTTAGGGTCTCGGGTCTTAGGGTTGATAGTGCGGGTTTTTGTTAACACATTTTGCCACCAGGGTGTGAGGTTTTAGTGTTTAGGGCTTAGGGTTTCGGGTTTGAGGGTTTTGGGTTCAGGGCTTGGAAGCCTCCTGCACAATCACAACTTTCAGCTACACCTTCACCCAAAGCTACTTGGCTTCACTCCTGACGGCTTGAGGCCAGCGCATTCTTTCCGTGTCACCTCGCGGTCGAATATAGGGGCCTTAATAATTCGAATAGGAGTTTGGGGCCCATTATGCCATAGTTATAATAAGGAGCCACCAAAACAGTATTGGTAATTGGGAGTTTCCGAAAATAGGGGACCCTAAAAAAGTACCCCAAATAGTAGGATCCTTATGAAGGGGACCCCCAAAAAGGTACCCCCCAATTTTCGGAAACTCCCATTTAAGCCCCTATAGTAACCCATCCTTCACCACCCTCCCAGCATTCCTTGAAACCCGGATCCGAGCCCTCCCACCAGTCTTCTAATATGGGGGGCCTTAATAGTTAGAATAGGGTTCCTTTAAAAGGGCCCTATAAGGGTGGATACTGCAAGGGCACTATGATATAGGGGCCTTAATAATTGGAATAGGGTTTTGGTGCATAGTCTGCCATAACTAGAATACGGAACCCCCAAGATAGTATTGGTAATATTTCAGGCGCCTGTATTAGAAAGAACCGTGCCCGGAAGCCCCTAGAATCAGACGGGCGTCCAGTCTTTGAAATAAGCTTGCCCGTAGCTCAGGCGGAGGGCTGCCAAAGCTCCTGCAAAGCTGAAAAGGTGGCTTTCCTCGTAAGAAGGACGCCTTAATCATTGGAGTAGGCTTTTGCGGCTGAATTCTTGTATAAGCACGACAGCATATAACCACAAGGAAGAGACTTGGCAATGATTCAAGCTTGTCTTAACCGTGGGTGGCTTTGAGATGGTGTGTTATTCCTCATTTAAGGGATTTTGGAATGTCTGGGTTCTGTGGGGTTTCTGTACCTCAGCTACGACTCTGGGGGGCTTTATGTTATAAGGAGAAAAAGGTCCTCCAGCGCCGAAGACCATTGGCGCCATAGTTTCAAGGATGACGGATGTCCGGATCGTGTGACCTCTTGGGTCCTACCTCCTCTGGCTGATCTGACCCTAAGAGCATCCTAAAGCCCTGCAATGCACCTGCTTAAAGGATCATGGGACTTAGTAACTGGGGTTATAATTAGGGTAACTATACTTATAACCCCAATTAAGGTACTTATAACCTTACTTACTAAGTCCCATGATCCTCCAAGTGTGAGAACATTCTGAGAGGCAGGCAATAGAAGCTGAGGACCAGATTGTACAAATGCACGGCGTCCAGGCCCATGTTCGAGATTTTCTCAACTTCATGGCACTCCCTCGGAGAAGCGATGAAAGCTTCGGGCTTTGGGCTTAGGTCGGATGGCCAGACTGCATCCATCTCCGGCTTTTTGGGTCTTTGTTGGTGTCTGCTGCTTGGGAGGAGAGCTTGCCAAGGAACTTTGACATCAGCAAGCGCGGCTCCAGGTAGAGGCCAAAGAAACCGACCTCGTAGCAACGGCATGTCAAGACCTCTCGAAGCCCAAAATCGACTCCGAGATGCAGCCTGAACCCCAAACCCCAAAGCCTGAATCCTAAGTTCTTACTACTTCATCCTAATGCAGGCACCTGATTAAGAAACCTAGGGGCCTTTATCAGGGTTCCTTATATGAATGCTACTCTTTGGGGGTTATGAGCCCAGGGTTTCTTAATCAGGTTCCTACATTATTATAGTATTATAGTACCCCTATAGATCGCCTACATTATTATAGTATTATAGTACCCATTTCTTAACCAGGTTCCTACATTAAGGCTCACAGTGACTCCATGAACTGCAAGATATCAGGGCCGAGGGGCCGCAGCGCCCACGCAGCCACCCAGGAACATGCAGAACCCGGCGAGAAGAAGGCCCTTGACGCTGCGAGGCCTTTGGGGGTTAGGGTTCAGGGTTTAGGGTTTAGGGTTTAGGGTTTAGGGTTTAGGGTTTAGGGTTTAGGGTTTAGGGTTTAGGGCCTAGGGTTCAGGGTTTAGGGTTTAGGGTTTAGGGCTTTTGGTTTAGGGTTTAGGGCGAGGCCTTGGCAAAAAGGGGAGGGGGGAGGTAACTCAGTACCCAGGCCCTAGAGAGCCCGATTATGACAGACACCCGAGTAACCACAGAAATACTCAAATGTACTGAGTACAGTCGAATAACCAACATCAGCAGAATAACACTAGAGAAGGCAAGGAGAAAGCTAACGATAATGCTACTGGTAGTGACAACGATAGCTATACAAACGGCAAGAGAAAGAAGCGGAAGATATTGCCAGCAATAATAGCAATAGTTACAGCCTGCAACATAAAAAGACACCTTAAGCTATGTAGGGATATGGGGCTTCACATGGGCTTCATGTTAAGAGTTAAGGCATGTTCCTGGATTACGAGGTAATGAGCTCTTGGGGACGGTGCTTCGAAAAACGTCCAAGACACGGTCGGAGAAGCGGCTGTTTCACCACCTCACTTTGCGCCGCGGCTGCAATAGCCTCTTCCAGCTTCACATCGCGCATGGTTTCCGATGACCTTGCGAGCTCAGGCTTCGTTCCGGCATTGCTATATCAGAGTCTGCACTGGTTGGAACCCGGCAGACAATCTGCAGTCTCTCGTCTGTAACCCTATTCACAGCATAAAATCTTAAACCCGCAACCCGGCTCCTAACACCCGCAAACCACCAATACCCTAAAACCCATAAAGCAACCCTGAAGCCCCAGACTCCCTCAATCCGAATTCCCCTCAAGCCCCCTTGCACCTCCGGGCACGCCGCTTCGGTGACGTGCTGCCCCCGCTTTTGGGCGACGGATTGCCGCCTGCATCCTCCGTCGCCTTCATTTCGAGGCAGAGGACCCTAAAGCCTAAACCTAATGTAGAGGCCTTCATAATTAGAACAGTTCCTTAGAGGGGTCTATAAGGGATCTATAATGGGGTTACATAATATAGGGGCCTTAACGATTAGAACAGGGTTTCCGGGTATATTATACTCTAGTTATAATAAGGAACCCTAAGGAACAATATTGGTAATTATCCAGGCTTTTACATTAAACCCTAAACCCTACGGCCCAGGACACTTGGGGTTTAGAGACCTTAGGGTCTGGAGGGTGCCGGAGGGGTCTTGCTGCTGAAAGACGGCTTCGAGATTTAAGGGGAGATTTCGGGGTCAATGCTGCAAAAGCTCATCCCCCACAAACCCCTAAAAAGCCCTTAAACTACTGTTGATGGACGAAATCCTGCATGACCCTAAGGACTCTAAACTATGGGAACTATGGTATATTCCTTATAATGGGTAATGCAGGATTTTGGCCATCAACAGTAGGGTTTGAGGATCTGAGCTCGGAGTTTTGGTTTGGGATCTTCTCGACCGTGGGGTTCCGGCTTCGGGGGAGTGAGATCCGGGGTGGACAAGTTGGCTTCGGATTCGCTGTTAAATTGTGGCTCCTCTGCGGCTGAATGCTTCAAGTTCGGCTCTGGGCTTTCGGGTTTTAGAGTTATATATGGGGTTCAGTGTGCAATGGTATGTTAGGAGCGCTATCGCTTCGAGTCCTCCTACATGCACCGACAACAGCATCTTAAACGAGAATGATAGAATCCAGAAGCTGGTTGCTGTACATGAAAAATCTCACGGGTAGTCAAGCCTTGCCAAACAGCAGCTGGACAGCAACTCTGATCTCAGCTACAGCAAAAGCAATCTCCCATTAAACCTCCTCCCGGCAGACGACATACTGAATCTCTAAGTCACTAAACCCTGAATTGCTAAACCCTAAGCCCTAAACCCTAAATTGCTGAGCCCTAGACCCTAAACCCTCTGAACCGCCACCCTCGATATCGATGCAACCCAGACGCAGAGCAGAAATACTGCCATTATGGAATCAGGTCCCGTGAGACCATCCCCATTATGGTTCGGGGACCTATGTCTTAATGGTGGCGTATATGGACCCTCTGGGAACCCTACTCTTCTGGAAAGGGTGTGGGGGACAAGGAGAACGGTTGATGATATAAATCCTGCACTACCCATAATAAGGAATATACCATAATTCCCATAGTTTAGGATCCTGAAGGTAATGCAGGGTTTATATTATCAACCGGAACCAAGCCTCTGGGCTCAGCAGGGGCTGCGTGCCCTCTGCGCCTAAGCATGGATGGACGTCTTCAGGCCTACGTCTGCAGCGCTTGGGAACCCTACTGTAGGGGCCTTGATAGTTAGAATAGGGTTCCTTTAAAAGGGCCCTATAAGGGTGGTTACTGTAAGGGTACTATGATATAGGGGCCTTAATAATTAGAAGAGGGCTTCGGGCTCCTTCATACTATGCTTACAATAAGGAACCCTAAAGTCCTAAAGACTAATTAGACCGGGCACAAGCCGAAGCCTAGGCGTTGAGTCAAACAAACTCTCACCTCTTCTTGTAGCCTCTGTGGAAACAAAATCACAATGAGCGGCTGGAGCACCGAGTAAAATTGAGCTTTAACAGGCCAAAAGAAGAGGTGAAGCCCAACATCACAGTGGTGTATCCTGCTTGCCGAACACGGCTAAATGGCAGCACTACGCTACAATGCCCCATCTCCCCTCTTGTTGCATGTTGAAGCTCAAGACCTTAAGAGATGCGGGACGAGCAGTGCAGGACAAGGAGGCCGGGGTCACTGTCCAGTTCAAATCAACCTGGAGTAGCTTCACGCACCGCACGATGCGAAGGAAACAACACGCGCAAACCGCACAAGATGTCACAGCACAACACAAGTTGCCGCTAGATTAGGTCGTGATGAAACACTGCACGGCAGCACCGCATAGCACAAGATAGAACGACCGAACCCACACACTGCATGGGAGAAAGCAGCCGAGCCGACTGAACTGTGGAGCTGCGACAAGCAGTTCGAGTAGAGATGCCAAACCCTAAACCCTGAATCCACACATGCCTTCCAAGCGAGACCTGTCGGACTCGGAAGCCAAGACCCCTTTAACAACCCCCCCTCAACAACTTTGTAGCTACAAACACTTTTCAACCCCCAAAACTTGTCCGAATTATTCAGGCCATACCGTATTCAGGCCATACCGTAGGGAACCCTCAGGACGAGTATCTCCCTGAGACCCCGACTGGCGTGGACATCTTCGGAAGGAGGCCGCACGAAGCCGTGATCATCTTCGTTGCCGAAGCAGCCGAATCCTTACCGCTCTGGACACCAAGGTGGGCATCCACGGAAGTTTCCGTGGGACGGGAGGGTTGGGATGGGACCCAGTGCAGATGGCCAGATATAAAGGTATGGAGTTCGGGTTCAGGGCTTAGGGCTTAGGGCTTCGATGTCCATCTGCGAAGATGACTGGAAATCCTCAGCAAAGACTCATCGACGTATGTATATATACATATAGATATGTGTGTATACATATATATGTATGGGTAGTTCTCTACATTAGGGTCCTTTTTAAAGCCTAATTTCAAGAACTACCCAAATGGCTTCAGAGCACAAAAATTTCTTCGGCCCTGCCCTTCTTCGAACCTGACCCCCGGACACCAGAATCCGGACCACAGCCTTACTTGGAAGGGCAGGGGACTTGGTAAGTAGGTTATAAGTAGAGTTATAATTGGGGTAACTCCATTTAGGGTACTTATAACCCTACTTATAACCTACTTACTAAGTCCCCTGCCCTTCCAAGTAGTCTTTAGTCTTGAACAACATGCAAAGCCAAGCCCCCAAACCTTCATGAGGAGAGATACTATCCATATTCTTTTGCTTATGAACAGTTTTACTTTTAGTTCTTTATAGTTAATTATAGTTATGTATATTGATTTATTCGTTGAACAATTTGTGTATATTAACTATGTATTTATACATACATACATGTAGATATACCTATGACTCGTGGGCAACATGGCCAAGCATCGATCCAAGCGAGTCACGCAAGCGGCAAATCCTGCAACGAACGGCAACTGCTGCAGCGTGCGTATCGACAGACTACCAATAATACGGCTTATGATTTGCATCCTGCATTACCTTAATGACCCTAGGCTATGGGAATTGTTGTATATTTTTCATGAAGGGTAATGCAAGGTTTGTATCATCAACCGTAGTGACGATCAGGAGGATGGTGATGACGAATGATGGGAGTTTCCGAAAACAGGGGGTACCGTATTTGGGGTCCTTATAATAAGGATCCTACTATTTAGGGTACTATATTAGGGTCCCCTATTTTCGGAAACTCCCTGATGAAATGCTGAACTACCTTTCAGATCTTCGGGGCGCCTCCTGCGGCCATGGCGGCACTCCCAGATACCGCGCCCCTCTAGTCCATAGCCTTCTGTGCGAGGGGTTTAGGGTTTAGGGTTTAGGGTTTCGATATGAGGATGTGCAGTAAAGTGCTCTGGTGTAGAATACTCATAATTCTCGAGCTTCGAATCTGCTCATCCCTAGCAGAGCTTCCGCTCAAGTCGTGAGAGGGCATGCTTTGCCTGACTAAACCTAACGCCGGCCGCGGAGTGATGGAACGAGAGCTTGGTCGGACAAGGCCGGGCATGTGCTGAAAACCACGGAGTGTGGCTGTTTCTCCATTTTTGCTGATGCGGTCGCGAGAGTTGCTTGGGCAAACCGCTCACTTGAAGCCCATGTACTGGAGGGCCCACAGAGCCTGAGTGCACTCCTCACACCCTTTATTCACCGGGCTTTGCAACTAAGCTCACCCTTCCGCTTGAAAAAAGGTTTTTAAGTCCAGCCCAAGGGGCTTGGGGCTTGTTATGAGTATGGGGCCTGATGGATCCCTTCTAGCAACCGTTCTAATGACCCCTATAGCAACCCTTTTCATAACACCTTGTAGCCACCCTTGGGCCTTGGGTTGTGAAGGCCCTTTGGTTTCTCCTGGGAGCCCAGACGTTCAAAATCTCTCAATTAAGGAATATACCTTAAATCATACCAGGGATCCTTCTAAAATTTAAGGCATATTCCTGAATTAAGGGATTTTGGAAGGTCGGGTTGGCTTCGTCGAGATTCTCCGAAGGCAAAGAAGGTGTTCGCCGCGAAGAAGAGGATGCTGTCGAGCTTGAAGTGCCAGATCGCCTCCGAGCCGTGAGGTTTCGCTTCTCATGTTTGGCTACTTGGAGGTTCATGGCTGGTTACAAGTGAGGTTATAAGTCCCCTAATATGGGTTATAACTATGAGTATAGTTACCCTACTTATTATAAGTCCACTTATAACTACTCCTGAACCTCCAAGTAGGGTTTTACGGTTTAGGGGTTTAGTGGCTTACGGGTCTAGGGCTTAAGTTTAGGGTTGCGGGTTTATCACCTGAAACTCTGAACAACCGACTACAAAGCCACTTTCTGGGCCTGCTCGTAGTATTTGGTCACCTGGCATGGGGAGCGTGGGAGCGGTTCAGAAGAGGCAGGCTGGTTGATACTAAACGGGGCAGCTATAAGCTTCTGTAAGGGTCACTAGAAGTTACTATCAAGGCTACCGTAAGGGCTGATATGAGGTTCTTGAAAGGCAGAGGCCTGGAGAGCGAACATGCTGCAATGGTGGCGATGAATACTGGTAAGCCAGTAATCAGAAGAAGAAGAAAAAGAAGAAGAGGAAGAAGAGGAAGAAGAAGAACAAGCAAAGTGCTTCTGGTGGCAATGGCAACAGGGCAGCAGCGGCAGCAGCAGCAAGGTACCATAAATGTCGAATAATTGCCGTCGTGTGCACTTGCACATGTGCTTCTCTCTACGAGTGCCGGATAAGATCGACCAAAAGAGGGATAGGAAAAACAACCCAGGGTTCTAGGGTTCCTGTGAGGGTTAGGGTTTTGTGTAGGAACCTTCATAATTGGAAGCGGGTTTTCGGGTGAGTTATGGTATATGTATGATAAGGAACCCTCAGGAATGATGTTGCTAAGCATCTTGGCTTCTAAACTACCTGACCTCACTCTGAAACCCCGAAAAAGGAAAGGGCCTCACCGACCGGGTCTTCCACCTGGCGACACAAACACGGCGTAACATGGCGTAGCATAGGGGCCTTAATGACTCGAACAGGGTTCTGGATTTGGGGTATGTTGCAGTGTGACGGTATAGGGACTTTTATGGAACGGTACCATGCTATACTATTACTGTAGTACTCTGCCTAACTATTGGGAGGTACTTGATTGTTCCGACCCCTACAACGGCACTTGGGCCCTGTTCCACACATGACAACCGGCATTCGAAAATGAACCACCTACGAGTACGTCGTGGCAACCGATGGCATGCCAAGCAGAATCTCGAGTGCGATGGAGAGTGTCTTCGGAAACTTGAGCCTGGCCTGTTGTGGGGAGGAAGGGAAAGGAACCCGTGACCTCTGAACTCTAGACCCAGTGAGTAAAAGCCCCAAATCCCCAAACCCTGGGAGCCCGGCCCAAGTGAAGAGCAGCGGGTGCCGAGCGGGGAGGCACATGAGAGGCCTCACGGTATGCAAAAGCAGAAAGCGCCAAAGCCTCCTGACCATTGCGGGAAAGAGCCCCTGTCTTCATAAAGATGATGACAGCGAAGGGTTTTTTGTTAGGACAATGCGCAAGATACGTAAAATGCTGGAAGAACTCCCTTCAAGCGCTCGACCCTTGACCGACTCCCGCAAGAACTAGCATTAGTACTACATCAGGGAGGACAGAGCCCTGTCGAAGCATCACGAAGCTTCATCGAAACTGCAAGCTCGGAATCCCCATCAGCTGCATTGTCGTTGTTGCTTTGTCTTTACTCTGGGTCCTGCTGACTGTTTTTGCTCTGAGTATCACCTTCCTGGGCTTCCGGGCGCTGCTTTGGCATGGCCGCTGGCCGTGTTATCCTCCCCCGTGGTGGGGCACATCCGGGCGGTCCACTCCTGCGAGACAGGGACCATCATACCATAATTACAATAAGGAACCCCAAAAATAGTATAGGCAATTATTAAGGCCCCCATAGCACAGAAACTAGGCTCCAGAGAGGGGGAGTTAAGGGTGTAGAGCGGAGGGTTTAGGGCTTGGCGGTAAGCCGACAGGGACGGTGTAGGTGTCTTGCTGCCTGCAGCTGCTCAGTTTCCAAGCGAGCGACGTACGGTGCATGAGGGAAATTTCAAGCAACTTGGTCCCTCAACTCGTTACAAAGAGGCTCCAAACAGGATGTACCTCCCGTGCCCTCGTCTCGAAGAGACCTTGCCTGGACTGCAAGCAGGTAGAAGGGGCGATGATCCTGCCAAGAACATACGACGAGCTACGGCGCATCTGTGTGCGGCCCACATGGTAGCTCACGAAGTGGATGGTTCTCCAAATTAGGGCCCCTTTTTTGGTACGGCACCCTCCCTATGTAGAGAACTGCCCAAGTAGCCTCGCGAATCATCCGCATACCGGCCCGGGCACGACGATCGGACACCTGGCAGCTGCCACATACCATGGGGGCCTTTGTTATTGGAATAGGGTTTGGGGGTACAGTCTACTATAACTATAATTAGGAACCCCCAAACTAGTAAGGCTAATTATTAAGGCCCCTATAATATACGGAAGAATGACGCTGGTCTCCTTGTCTGGGCTGAACTCTTTGAACTGGCGAACTCCGAAGGCTTGTTTTCCAACTGCCCACTCTTAGTCGAAAAACGGGCACGAAAATTCGGCACTGCAGGGAGAGTTTGCGAGCCACTCGGAGTTATCAAGGGCCCCAATTGACATCAGACTCAGATGAGAGACGCCAAAACTCCGTCTGCCAAGCCATCATCGGAACTGTGCACTCTTTGCCCAAGCCACGCCTACTCTGTGAAACTCCATAGTCGTTCGGTCCGTTTGGGACTCCGGGTTTCAGAGAAAGGGGGCCATCAAGGGGCAAGTGGGGGGGGGGGGGGGGGGGACTGCTTGGCTCGAAGAGGACCGCCGGTCCAAAGCAAGCTGCTGCCTTCGGCAGTAGCTGCAGCTCCCAACGTGCAGCCACGAAGTTTTGCTTCAAGCTTCGAGATCCCCTAGCTTTTGCACTCTAACTGTCTTCCTGGCTGCAGCTGGTGCATGGAAGATGCTGGCAACCTGGGCAGAAACCGCACAAATTCGCGGTGTCCTTCACAGGCCCACTACTTGGCGCCCGCAAAGATGGACACGCATGACATGCTCTGAGAGACAGAGCTCCTCATTGGCGCTGAAGCAATTCCTGGCACAGTGCTGCGTCCGACCACCTGATGACCGCTTAGGCTCGGTCCATCCCCACACGCCTGCTTCAAGTGATCCATGAATGGCCGCTGGCCAAACCACACGGAAAACAAGGCCTGCCCGAACTTGGGAGATTCTAGAATTTATGGCTTTGGGGCTTTAGGCGTTCGGGCCCTTCAAGGTTCTGGGGGTAATGATTGCGGGTTTATCAGGCCTGGCTCTTTATGCTTTCGGGCTTAGGATTTTGCTTTTGAAACAAAGCAGCTAAAACTCCCTTGTTCCTTGAACTTCGACATCCTCGTTGCTCAAAAGACTCCTGCTCCAAACCATGTGGAGTAAGTTGAGACCTTGCTTTGGCGGGTCGTTCTTCTGACTACCCAGAAATCTCGGAAAGGTGCTTTAACTTTCAAGGGAACCTTTAGAGAAGATCATCCTCCTGTACCTTTGGAGCTGGGCCGCCGCGCCTCCGAGAAACGACGCCCCTCAACGCTGCCAAGCTCCACACCGTTGAGTTGCAAGGTGACCCGGCCTGCTGGCATCTCCGGTGTAATATGAGAGGGGCCTTAACAAAGAGATTAAGATTTAGCGGTATATCAGGCTCTTCGGTGTAACATCGAGGCCTTGACAGGGAGATTAGGGCTTTGGGACATCATATCCTAGACGCTAGAACTATCTCTTCGGTGCAGGGCTTCAGGCCGTGGGATTTTAGGATTTAGGGCTCAGGGTGTGTTGTTGCTTTCGGGCTCAAGTTCTGAGTCTGGGGGTGCGGTCGATGGTGTAGCTTACATACTTGGAGGATCATGGGACTTAGTAAGTAAGGTTATAAGTACCTTAATTGGGGTTATAAGTATAGTTACCCTAATTATAACCCCAGTTACTAAGTCCCATGATCCTTTAAGTAAGCGCGTTGGGCTTTCGCGGACGGTAAGGAGCACTCTGCACCAGGCGAGGCTCATCGAACTTCCGGCGCCCTGAAATCGCAGTCACGTGGGGTTTTACAGTTCCGAATTTTAGGGTTTAGGGTTTAGGGTTTAGGGTAACCCTAAACCCTAAACCCTAAACAAGAGCTCCAAGGCCCACAAGTGCCAACTAGGAAGAGCCCTTATCCCGATCCTAATCCATGAACAAACATCGGCGCGAATAGTATCTAACCAGAAGGAATTCTGAGGCCGCATCCTGCCGGAGTGTGCGGATCATAGGTGAGTGTATAGCAGTCCTTTCAAGAAGCTGCCCCTCTCATGAATTTAGGGTTTAAGGTTTAGCATAGCAGCCCTTTCAAGAACACGTCCAATGTGCCTCTCGTGGATTTAGAGCAGAAGGGTTTGTGGAACTTGCTTCTTTGGCACATTCTCTACTTGCAAGAATCGTAGTAATTGTTTGCTGCTCTTTCAAAACGGCTATTATCAAGCTTGCTCTTGCTGTTTTCTTATTACTACAGCTACTGCTACTGCTACTGCTACTGCTGCTGCTGCTGCTGCTGCTGCTGCTGCTACTACTACTACTACTACTACTACTACTACTACTACTACTACTACTACTACTACTACTACTACTACTGTTGTTGCTATTGTTACTACTATGAATACTCGATCTCAAGTTTAGCGTCAAAGTCTCGCCTCGAACTGCAGTCGAAGGATCCCCTTTCCCCATCCAACCTAAGCCCCGAACGTCGGCCGAACCTGAAGCCCTACACCGAAGCCCTCAACTACACCCTCAACATGTGACCCTAAACTCCCTGAGCCTTCAAGGCAGCCGCTGCCTCCAGGAAAGCCCGAAACATCGGAAAAGCTGTCAAAACCGAAAACACCCCCCCGAAATTTCCCAGCCGTCCCCAGGCTGAACATCTCTGTACAGGGGGTTGAAGTGTTTCAGTCCGGCCTGGGAACCATGCTTCAAGGATCATGGGACTTAGTAACTATAGGTTTCCTTTTAGGGCTTCTTAAAGGGATCTATGGGGTTTAGGGTTTAGGGTCTACTTAAAGGATCATGGGACTTAGTAACTAGGGTTCCCTAAAGGGCTCCTTAAAGGGATCTATAGGGGTTCCTTCAAGGTATCTATGGGGTTTAGGGTTTAGGGTCTACGTAAAGGATCATGGGACTTAGTAACTAGGTTTCCTTAAAGGGTTCCTGAAAAGGTATCTATAAGGGTTCCTTCAAGGGATCTATAGGGTTCAGGGTTTAGGGTCTACTTAAAGGATCATGGGACTTAGTAACTCGGGTTATAAATAAGGTAGCTATACTTATAATTGCTTATAACCCCAATTAGGGTACCTATAGCCTTACTTACTAAGTCCCCTGATCCTCCAAGTGCAAGGGTTCTTTTGGCGGTTTGTAGGGTTGGGGCTTGGTTCGTCAACGTTGAAGCAGGGAAAAGGCGGGCCGTAAAGTCTGCGTAGAAAACACTCAAAGGACCAACAACGATACTCTTAGTTGTGGCCGACAAAGTTGGGATCATTTTCTTAGGGAAAGGTCTCAGGGTAGCGACAGAAGGGTACGGACTCTGCGATCGTGACACCCGAGACAACAGGAATTGTCCACGATACATGGTAAACACCTTCACCAATACCAAGCAACACATACAAAAACCCAACAAAAGAACACATAAATCAAAGATGCGCCCCTGCAATTTTGAACTGCCATGAGGATGCGCACCTCCACGGCCTCGTCAGGCAAGAAGCCGTTTCTGGACAAAGCCCAACCTGAAAACAGGACAGAGTGGCGACAGCCGACAGAGAGGCTTCCGGCTGCACTGAGGGTAGTCTGGCCCTTTAGGGTTCAGGGTTTAGGGTTTCGGTTTGGGGCTTTTTGGGGGGGTTTAGGACATCGCATCCTGAGGGTGATTGCGAATGGTTGATGATATAAATCCTGCATTACCTTAAGGACCCTAAACTAAGGGAATTATGGCATATTCCTTATTATGGGTAATGCGGGATTTATATCATCAACCGGATGCTCAGCTCCCAACGGGTCACAAAACGAAACTGGTCTCCGGGAAAGTGTCTGCAGTAGCGTAGCTCCTGTGGCCGAGACCGGCGCTGTTTTGCTCCAGCTCGGCACAAGGGATTTAGGGTACTGTATACTATTTGGGGGATTCCTTATTATAAGTATGGTATACTATCCCCCAAAACCCTATTCAAATTACTAAGGCCCCTATAGTACCGGGTCTAGGGTCTGGGAACTGTTTTGGTGGATTTTGGGAGTTCGGGGAAGTGAAAGGATCGCACGTTGTTGGGGAGAGTGGGGGGGCAAAGGAAAGCAATATAGAAACCTGAAGAAATACCAGTGCATTGCTGAAGCTTCTTGTTTCAGACATGCTTTGACGAACCCCCAACTCCGTTCTAACGACTACGGTCCGGTCACTCTTCTAAACCCTGATCATTTGTGTCTGAAGTCGAAAGACAGTCCAGCGTCTTCAGGACGTTGGAATCCATGACGTCTTTTCCTGGACAAGAACGGCAGAAGGTAATAAGAATGGGTCTTTAAGGTAGCTTATAAGGTGTAAGCCTAAAATCCATGTGTGTATACATATATATATATATGTATGTATGTACATACACCGGATGGATGGATGGATGGAGGGAGGGAGGGAGGGACGGATGCATGGAAGGTCCATAGATAGATACGTAGATAGACAGGGTACGTTGTGGCATGACTATATGTGGGCTATGGGGGGTACGAATAGTCAATCGTTTCACTCAGGCTCTCCAATTCAACAGGAGCCTCCCGATCCAGCTGGAGGAACAAATGCTCACTAATCGGTTTACGGTCTTGGGTCTAGGGAAGTTCAGGGTTTTGGGTTTACAGTGGGGTTTGGAGAAACTTAGGATTTTGGGCTTAGGGGTCTTGAAATGAAGCACGGACACTGCCTGTAAGGGCTTGATCAGCACCTTCAGGCAGATACCTGTGAAATGCGTCAGGAGACAAGAACACCACAAATGCCAAGATCCCATCTTCCGAGTTTCGCAGCCACCTACCATGGGGTGAAAACTGAGGGATCCGCAGGACAGCGGCACAGACCTCAGGCACCAGAAGAGAGGGAAGGAGCCAAAAGTACGGATGATGGACTCTCCGCAGCTGTTCTACGAACGATGTATAAGGACGTGAGTTGTGAAAAGGGATCCTCGTCAAGAGAAAGAGCGCGTTCAGTTCATGCTCCACGCGGCCTTGGCCACAATCAATATATGTACATATACATATTTCTGTATATATTCCGTGGCCCGAGTGCTCCTCTTGGAACAGATCCCAACTCTCACCCCTCAAGCCTAAACCCTGCTATAAAGCCTTAATAGTTAGAACAGGGTTTTAGGTTGTATTACACTACAAGCATAATAAGGAACCCCCAAAATAGTATAGGTAATTCTGTAGGCCCCTATATTAAGCCGGGGAAGAGCAGAGACCCTCGGGGGGACCCAGGCCTGAAGGCCGTAGTATCTGCAATGGCTGCGGCCATGGACGCCGAGGCGCTGTTTTCCAACCACCTCGCAGAGCGAGGTAGGTCCTTTGATGGGGACCTGCTGTTTGTGAGGACATCGCAGACACTAACATTATTGTTGTTCATTACTAGTAGTTTATTAGTTAAAGATTGTTGTTGTCATGATCAAATATATATATATATATATAATATAAAATATATAATATAATATATATAGAAATATATATATATATATATATATATATATATATGTACGTATATGTATTTCTGTATGGGTATGGGGAAGAGCCCCTGGAGCCCCTAGAACGGATCTCTCCTGCCTTGCAGCCGGGGAAGCGGAAGCCTCCCACCTCCAGGTCCTGGAAAACCTGCACAGGAAGCTCCCCTAATAAAGGGGCCATAAGAGTTAGAATAGGGCTCCTTTAAAAGGGCCCTATGAGGGTGGTTCCTGTAAGGGTACTATGATACAGGGGCCTTAAGAGTTAGAATAGGGTTCCTTTAAAAGGGCCCTATGAGGGTGGTTCCTGTAAGGGTACTATGATACAGGGGCCTCAAGAGTTAGAATAGGGTTCCTTTAAAAGGGCCCTATGAGGGTGGTTCCTGTAAGGGTACTATGATATAGGGGCCCAAAAAAGTTAGAATAGGGCTCCTTTAAAAGGGCCCTATAAGGGTGGTTCCTGTAAGGGTACTATGATATAGGGGCCCAAAAAAGTTAGAATAGGGTTCCTTCAAAAAGGGCCCTATAAGGGTGGTTCCTGTAAGGGTACTATGATATAGGGGCCTTAACAATTAGAAGAAAGTTGTGATGCCCATTCTACTATAATTAGAAAATAAGGAACCCCCAAAATAGTATTGGTAATTATCTCGGCCCCTATAGTACCGCTGCTGCTCCTGCCGCTGCTGCTGCTGCTGACGACGACGGCAACGACGAGGACAACGACGAGGACGACGACGAGGACAACGACGAGGACAACGACGATGGCAAACGCTATCAACCGCTGTTACTTGTACTTGGTATTGGTCGCCACCTGCGACTGCTGATTTGCAGCAAGCTCAACCAGTCCTTTCTGTAAACCCAGGCCTTGCGTCTAAAAATGTCTCGCATCGAACCCCTATCCAATGCGAATTCAATCGTAAAGGAAAGTGTTTTTGCACTACAGCAGGAGCATTCAACACCAGCTGGGGTCGTGGTTTTAGGGGGTTAGGGTTTAGGGTTGTACGGCTTAGGGCTTTGGGGGCTTAGGGCCTCAAGGTTTAGTGTTTACCAGGACCCTCAAGGAGTTAGTTATTTTAGGTAAGGAGGTCATTATCGAAAACCTTAAAAAGGGAAGTGGTTTAGGAACAACCCTAGGGTCCAGGTAGAGTTTAGGCATCAAAGCTTCAAACCCCAAACTCTCATGAAATGGTCACTGCAAAAGCCAAGACCCCTTCAAAACCCTAAAGCCCCAAGAAAGCCTGAAACTTCACCCGTGATGCTTAATGCGATAGACAGACCCGTATAGTAAAGCCCAAAGAATTCACAGCCCTGGAGCCCCACTACTATAGGGGTCTTGATAATTCGAATGGGGTTCCTAGAGGGCCCTATAAGGGTTACTATAAGGGATTTAAGAATTAGAATCGGGTTGCTTTACAAGGGCCCTATAAGGGTTACCATGAGGGTACTGTGATACAGGGGCCTCATTAAGTAGAATAGGCTTTTGGGGCCCCTTATACTAGACATATAATTAATAAGGAACCGCCCAATTGTATAGGGTAAATCTTTAAGCCCCAGTACAAAGTTTGGAGTTCCGAAGTCCCCGCAAAGAACGCATGGGCGTCCCACTTCCTCCGCACAGATGCACGACCAAAGGAGTCACGCCATCATCGGAAGCCTAGTGTCTATAGTCGTCGTCTGTGCTTGACTCCAACCGAAAAGGTGCGAAAATCAACTGCTCCGCTGCCTCGCCGATAGCTTCAGCAGTGCTTGGCTCTTTTGTTCTTGCTTGCAGAACACTCCTGCACAAGGCGTGCAACCTCCAATGCAACCTCCAAATGCCCATTCTGAGTTGCGATGGAAAACGGAGTGGCGCCATTTTGGTTGGCCTTGTTCGTGTCCGCATTGGCCTGCAACAAAAGGCGTGTAACCTCCAAGTGCCCTTCCTCGGCTGCCACGAACAAAGGGGTGGCACCATCACGATGGATGTTGTCCTTGTCGGCACTGGACTTCAACAAAAGACGTGCAACCTCCAGCTGCCCGTTCAGGGCTGCAACGAACAACGGGGTGGAGCCATCACACGTCTCTTGGTCTTTGTCGGCATTGGCCTCCAGCAAAAGGCGTGCAATCTCCGAATCCCCGTCCTTTGCTACCACGATTAAAGGGGTGGCACCATCATGTTTGGCCTTGTTCGTATCCGCATTGGCCTGCAACAAAAGGCGTGCAACCTCCAAATGCCCTTCCTGGGCTGCCACGAACAAAGGGGTGGTACCATTACGCTCGGCTTTGTTCCTGTCCGCATTGGACTCCAGCAAAAGTCGTGCAACCTCCAAATTCCCGTTCAGGGCTGCAACGAACAACGGGGTGGCGCCATCACGCGCCTCTTTGTCTTTGTCGGCATTGGCCTCCAGCAAAAGGCGTGCAATCTCCGAACCCCCGTTCTTTGCTACCGCGAGCAAAGGAGTGGCACCATTGTGCATGGCCTTGTCCTTGTCTGCATTGGCTTGCAACAAAAGGCGTGCAACCTCCAAATGCCGTTCCTGGGCTGCCACGAACAAAGGGGTGGCTCCATCACGGTCGGCTTTGTTCCTGTCCGCATTGGACTCCAGCAAAAGTCGTGCAACCTCCAAATTCCCGTTCAGGGCTGCAACGAACAACGGGGTGGCGCCATCACGCGTCTCTTTGTCTTTGTCGGCATTGGCCTCCAGCAAAAGGAATGCAATCTCCGAATCCCCGTTCTTTGCTACCACGAGCAAAGGACTGGTGCGACTATAATGTTTGGCCTTGTCCTTGTCCGCATTGGCTTGCAACAAAAGGCGTGCAACCTCCAAATGCCCTTCCAGGGCTGCCACGTACAAAGGGGTGGCTCCACCACGCTCGGCTTTGTTTTTGTCCGCATTGGACTCCAGCAAAAGACGTGCAACCTCCAAGTGCCCTTTCAGGGCTGCCATAAACAACGGGGTTGCGCCCGCACGCGTCTGTTTGTCTTTGTCGGCATTGGCCTCCAGCAAAAGGCGTGCAACCTCCAAACACCCAAACTCAGCTGCCACGAGCAACGGCGTGGCGCGACAATAATGTTTGGCTTTGTCCTTGTCCGCATTGGCCTCAAGCAACAGGCGCACCACCTCTGTGTGGCTTTGCTCGGATGCCTCGAACAGAGGGGTCGGATCGCCCAAATCTGGATCTTGCGGCCGTTGCAGCAAAGCTTCGACTTCTGCTGACAGGCCGCGTCTCGCAGCATCCCGAAGCGCTGTCACTTGAGCGTAAGATGCTGGGCAGAAGCTTAGAAGTGTGACCTGAACTTCGCCAGGTCTCAAGGGGCCCTCGTCATCTAGAACCGCCACATCATCCACAAATACGAGCCTCTGCCTGAACCTTGACAGCCCACACATGCTGCACAGATGCTGCTTCAACGCCCGGACAGGAAGCACGCCTTCAGAAAGTCCCTCGAGAAAGGTCGCCAAATGAAGCGCAACGAGTCCTTCACCCGACACTGCTGTCCGAATCCGCAGCATGGCCAAGGCAGACGGCCGAGACGTGGACTCCAAAACACAAGCTTCACTGCGGAACACACAGCCACACAGCTTGTCTTCCAATCTGCATGCTGCGTTTCGAGTTGCTTCATGTTCTTGATCGTTTATTGAAATCATGTGCTATGTCTGTCCCGCCTGTCAGGCTTATGGTTCTTTTCCAGCCGTGACCCCTTCCTTCTGCTGCTACGAAATATTGCCGCTGCTGCTACGAAATACCGACTATGCACCACTACCACCATCACCACCACTGTGTCCCGTTAAGATTGTATATATCCCTCAGTACGAACCGCCTGCTCGTCCATTGCGCTGTGCACATGCACCAGGCCCCCTCAGCACCGGGGCAGAATTTCCAGACTTCAAATCTCGTCTAACACGGCTGGCTCTGCTCTCGTACCATCAATGTTACCAGCCCAAGGCAGAGAGGCCCTCGAAACTCCGACACTCGAGCCCCGGAATGCCGCACCCTCCACTAGGCTCGGTGCCAGTGGGTGCAGCTGCTAAGGTGCTGTTGCTCCAAAGCGGGCGGAGCCTGAGTTTCGGAGCCATGAACTCTTCAGGGCAGCAGGACAGAAGCGGACAACCCTACATCCTAACCAGCAATCGCCTGGAAGCCTAAATGCGAGCCACCCCTCCCTTTCTCCGGAACTCTGAATCAAGAGCCTGGCGGAAGCTCTGAAATCCGCTGGCACGGGTTTGCAGACCTCTCAATGCCAAACTCGAGAACAACACACGAAGCTGAAGTGAGTCTTCAGGCGTTCAGGAGACAACTCTGGACCAAGAAGCCACTTGGGAGTTTCAGAAAATTAGGGGGTATTGTTTTGGGGTCCTTATAAAAAGGATCCTACGATTTGGCTCCCCTATTTTCGGAGACTCCCACTTAACCACAACACCTGCTGAATCCTAATCCCTCAAGGAAACAAGACTGTGAGATGATGTACCCTGTCGGGGTTTAGTGCCCAGATACCACGGCACAACGATGAACCGCGAAACCCCCAGAGCCACGGCTGATGATAGAAATCCTGCATTAAAGGGATATTCCACAATTGCCATATCTTCCCTATTCTGGGTAATGCAGGATTTATATCATCAACCAAGTACTTCGGTCGAAGGGCGGGATCGGCGAGGGCGCAGAGGAGCTCTTTGACGCGGAGGAGCCCGAAAGCCTTCCAAGGGATCCCTGAAGAATTAGGGTGGTTGTCAAAATTATGGTCCCTTTTTGGGTCCCTATTATAATACGGCACCAATTATTTAGGATACCCAAACAGGGACCTCAATTTTGACAACTACCCACTAGAGGGTTTGGGGATCAAGTATACCAGAATACCCACAAGGAGCAGGAGCCCCACAGAATAAGATTGGCATCTTACTTGGAAGGGCAGGGGACTTAGTAAGTAGTTTATAAGTAGAGTTATACGTACCCTAAATGGAGTTACCCCAATAATAACCCTACTTATAACTTATAACCTACTTACTAAGTCCCCTGCCCTTCCAAGTACTCAGGCCCCCATCTTCGGAGTCGATGAAGAGTCGCCAGAGTGCAAGAAGTCTCAGCTCCCGACTTCATGATCTCCCACTGGTCCTTTCGTCAGTTTAAGGTTCAGGGCTTTGGGTTTGAGGTTTAGGGTTTAATGTTTTGGGCTCAGGGTTTGAGGTTTAGGGTTTAAGGTTTAGGGTTTGAGGGTTCAAGGTTTAGGGTTTAGGGGTTAGGGGTTTCGTCGTCACTCTAACCCGTGGGCTTGGAGTTGGCGTCGCCCGCGGCGGACTGGCTACTTAATACTTAGAGTGGGGCTTTGGGGTATCCTGTACTTGGAGGGTCGGGGGACTTAGTAACTGGTTATCTTAAGGACTTATAAGTACCATAACCCCAATTAGGGTCCCTTCTAGGGTACTTATAAGTCTACTTACTACCTGCTTACTAAGTCCCCCGACCCTCCAAGTAGTATGGCATGTACAATAAAGCAATCGAAGGAGCAGCTATCGAATCGGGAGTTTCCGAAAATAGGGGACCCTAATATAGTACCCTAGCTACTAGGACCTAGGATCCTTATTATGAGGACCCCAAAATCAGGAAACTCCCAATTATTATGGAGATTCAAGGGTCAAGGCAGATTAAGAGTTGGGCCTCGGAAGAAGGCACTATTCCCTTCCTGCTCTTGGGAGATTGCTGCATTGTCCCATTCTCGAAACTAACTTGCCAACTTGGGGAACGTGTACATGTACCCAAACTCAAACCCTTCAAACTTGGGCAAGTGCAGGACGCTCTTTCAGCGCATCGCATTCTGTCTCTCTGCTCTGGCCGTGTCAAACTGGTCGAACAAGTCAAGAATTGGCTGAACCGGATACCTCAAGTGCAAGAAGGGAACACCCATAAAGCACTTGCAGAAGACGTGTACTAGATGCACTCCGCCAGCATGGGCACCATGACGCTATGAAATGTCAAACTGTACAAGCCAGGCATCCTGTGAACAGTGAGATTTGCCAAGAATGGACAACTTCTTGACAGCTCTTCCAGTGAGAGCAGCCAGAGCCACTTGCCAGCGCCGTTGCCTCAGTCCATAGTAAGGCTTCTTCCAGCTTTGCTTGCCCTCTCTCTCTCTCTCTCTCTCTCTCTCTCTCTAGGGCAAGGGGAACGTGCTAAGTTCCCCAGACCAAGAGGCCCACCCATTCTGCATGGGCAGCTTTGGAAGAATTGTGAGACGCGACCTCTCGCTCTCGCTCCTTGTGATTCTTCTTCGTCTTCTTGTTCTGCTTGTCCTCTTCTTCTTCTTACAACGCGCTCTCTCTCTCTCTCTCTCTTTCTCTCTCTCTCTCGCTCTCTCTTGCTTGCACGCAGCCAGGGGGCTCCCTCTCTCTCTCTCTCTATGTCTCTCGCTCTCTCTGCATGGGGGCAAGTCGCTACGATACTTGCAGTAACTCACCGTCTCTCTACTCCTGTTACTTCGTTTTGCGCGGACTGTCACTCTGTCACAGGACATGGCGACTGCCTCGCAACATCCGACGATGTGCTCACTGCTATGGGGGCAGCTCTGAGGGCAAGAACTTCCCGGAATGCTAGTGTTGAGCCGAACGGCCATGCCACGTAATGGGGAGATTATTCCTCCGCCACAACGAGCATCCCTGAATCGCATAGTTCCCATAGAACACGTCGTGGAAGCGTTTGAAACTGTCGCTGACCTCAGTATGCAAGCACTATGAAGGCACGAGTCTGGGGGTCTGCGGGTTTAGCACGAATGAAGTAGCACTCTAAAATGCGTCGCAGAAGCTGTACAGCACGGCTGGTTGGCACAGCGTGGGCGCCAGCCGTCGCGACAAGCCGCGTTCTCCACCTCGACAAAATTCCCAAAGATGGACTGATGGTAGTCCAACGTCACAGACCTTAGGAATCAGAGAATCTACCACAACTCATGCCACGCTGCATCTGGGCTTCCGGCTCCCTGTGTTCCCAAAAATACATCTTGAAGAAGAGCTGGTCCGTCTCTCCGGCGATAGCGTCCTAGGCAAGTTGCAGCACTTCAGGAAGTGATCTACGGAGCCCACCCTAGAGCTGTGCTGCTGGGCTCCTCCGCTGTGGTCTTGCGGCGGAGGTCGGGAAAGGATCCACCCTTCACTTCAGCAGCAAGGTCCAGGACCCATTTGATGATCCGGACCAGGGCTGAGGCAGGACCGATGTAGCCTCCAAGAATCCGGTTAAGGTTGAGCTTAGGATACACCTTTCCCATCGGCAGAAACTTTTTTAATAATAGTAATAATCGTAATAATCGTGACAATGGTAATAGTAGTAATAATAGTAGTAATAGTAATAATAGTGAAGAGGCCTCCCGCATTGAGGTACTTCGAGTCCGTGGGGCCCTGCGGGTACTGCGCATCGTCCTAGAAGTGCAGGTGCCACGGTCTCTTCGCCCCAAACGCCAAACTAAACCCTTACAAACCTTTGAAAACCCTTGATAAATCCTTGTACACCCTCGTAAACCATAATAACACTCATAAGCCCTCATAAACCCTGATAAACACTCAGACTCCCTTGTAAAACCGCAAACCCTAAACCCATAGACTGGCTCTGCAACCCTAAAACCTTAACCCTATATCCTAAACCCTAAACTTTAAACCCTCAACCTAAACCCTTTTAAAGGAGCCCTGGAAGGGCGAGACCTCCTCTGAACAGATGTGGCCGCCCCCCCAGCCGCAGAGCCGCTCCGAGGAGAAGACGACCTCCAAAAGACGCAGAAAACATAGGCGAATACATGCTACTATACTGAAATATACAATAATATAAGGCAATGTGACGTGATACAATATACTGCAGTGTAAGATAAGATGAGATAAGATAATATGCTAAAAAGTACTATAATATCAGATCATATAATATGAATACCAGGAAGGACTTAGGAGGGTCTAGGGCTTGGGGTTTAGGGACTTGCTCGGGCCTAGGCCTTAGGGCTGAGGGCTTAAAGGACGTGCTTATCGGTTTCCCAATGATTTATAATACGGTTGGTCATATAAATCCTGCATTACCTTAAGGACCTTAGACTATGGGAATTATGGTATGTTCTTTATCATGGCTAATGCAGGATTTATATCATCAACAGTATTATCATATGACTCCCAAAAGCCTACTCTAATCATCACGGCCAAGATACTAGAGAACCCTTGTATGAACCGTCATAATACTAACCCTGATATCCCTCAAAAGGTCCGACAGACCCGCGCGCCTCCAGGGATTCGGAGCCCCCAACCATTGCCTCAACAGCGACTAACATGTAGTTGGAATGGTGATATTCCTACTCCTGCTACTACTACTACTACTACTACTACTACTACTACTACTACTACCACCAGACTCCTGAAGTGTGCGCTTGTTTTGCAAAGATATACGACTACATACGAGTATGCGCATGCTCTTTCTGCATATTGGTGAAGGTTGACTTAGACACTTGCGCCAACAAAACCCACCTCGTAACGCTGGATGATGATCTGAGCAACAGCCTCGGAGTGCACAGCAAGAGATACAGATCGGCCTGAAGAGACGCGACACAGCAAAAACGGACAACAGCACCGTGCAATAGCGCCTCCACCGGCTGAATGTCCTTCAATCCGGGATCTGCATCAATAAGTTGTCTCAGATCGTTGAAGATGACATCCATGCCGTCAGAGACGATAAAGAGGCGCTGCCGACCACCAGCGGACGTTGCCAGGTACTTTTCCAGAAATTCTTGATAGAAGCGGAGACGCATGTGCATGCCGTCCCACTCGTGATTCTCACAAACATTGTGAACAGGCAGAGGCGTGGATGCACGGAAGATGTGAAAAACGGGGAAGTCCATCACCTTCACAAATCGCCCACCACTCACACATGTCAGCACCTCCACGCCGGACCACTTGGGATGCCCGGCGTCAAAGTGCAATGCTGGGTCCGCTTCCCCGGACTCCAAGGCCGCCACAGGTGACTTCCAAGGCTCAAACGGCCTGCTTGGAGGGGCGGGGGACTTAGTAAGGGTTCTTAAAGGGATCTAGAGGGTTCCTTAAAGGGATCTATGGGGTTTAGGGTTTAGGGCTTACTTGGAGGGGCAGGGGACTTGGTAAGTAGGTTATAAGTAGGGTTATAGTTGGGGTAACTCCATTCAGGGTACTTATAGCTGTACTTATAACCTACTTACTAACTCCCCTGCCCTCCAAGCATGCTGTGAGGACTCTAGCGCTACATCACGCACCAAGACGAAGGGCGGCTTGGAGTAATATAGATATTATTCCTCTTGTTATTTTTTACTACTATTATCATTGTTACTATTAATGGTGTTAGAATTTTTACTGCCATTGCTATTACTACGACTTACTATTACAAATACTACGATGGTTGCTGTGATTACAATGACTATGCTTATTTTTGCTCTTATCCGACAAAGCTCTTGGTTCGGCTCTTCTTTCTAAATCATCCAAGCCTTATTAGGTCGGTAGTCTCTTTACTTGGGGTTTCTGCTTTAAGGAGCTGTGTATAAGGATCCTTGTAGGCCTATATTAGGCAGTATTAGGAACAGATAAAGAAACCACCAGCCCGTTTAAGCCCAAGCCTTTTGGCCAGCTGCTGCATGGGAGCCAGGCGGAGTGCTGCCACGCGGAGTGCCGCCTCCGACAGAGCCCCAACCTGCTGCACCAGCTCCTGGGCCTCTCGAAGGGCCCAAAAACCCAATGTAAGGGCCTTGAAAATTAAAATAGGATTTTTAGGGGGGTTCCTTGTTCCAATTACAGTATAATATACCTCCAAACCCCTATTCTGATAATTAACGCCTCTACATCAATTGCTTCGACCCTGGGGCCTGAAACTCCGCCTTATGCCCGTGAAGCCTTGAAGCACCCAACATACTGTAGGGGCCTAAATTATTACCAATACTGTTGTGGGGTTCCTTACTATACTTATAGTATAAAGGGCCCGAAAACCCTATTCTAATTATTAAGGCCCCTATGTTACACCAACAAAGACACCTCAACCAACCCTAAACCCTAAACCCTAAACCAAAAAACCCTAAACCCTAAACCCTAAACCGCATCCTGGGCCCTGAGCTGCTGGTAGGAGCTCTGCAAGGC